GTGCGGGTCAGGTCCCTGACACCCTGGGGTATACCTGTGCGGATCCCTACCTAGTTTGCTGATGTGTAACACTTTGGGCAGATTGTCATGTCTGGGGCTTATTTCTTTTATTGCAGATGATCCTGATGAGCATGTGCCCCAGATAAATTTGTTTTAGTATTCTCTAACTATCTCACAATATTATAGAATTTGTTGTGGATATTTGACCTGTAGAGTGAGCCTTCTATGCCTTTTGCATTGATAAGTTGCCCATGGGACGAGATTTACTGCAATTTTCTTCAAAACAAAATATGGCAGTATGTATTATGTTTTGGGGAATCCAGATCTATCATGGATAAGGATTCCGTGCAGAATTGCGTGTGCTAGAGTTGATGCGCGGACTCTTGGGACACACGGACTCGTGGGACCATCTAGTAGCTGTGGGACAAGGTTTGATGGCGCTCAGCGGTGCTTGAATCCAAGTGAACTCGAACTTTTAGAATTGAGCAGCCCTATCAGGGCTGCTCACATGGCTCTGTTTGTGCTGAACGAAATAGTCATACAACAAAAAGTACACAACTATAAACGTCAAACCAGAGGCCACTAGAATCGATGCCAGGATAACAAAACGTACTTGTTTCACATGAGTACTACACTCTCTTAACTGCCAGGATCACATTCACAACTTCTAGTACAAGTTACAAAACTTCGTGCTGCCACAGATCTAATTCGCCGCTTCGGATATACTAGGGACGAAGCTCATCAGCTTATCGCCGTTCGCAAGCCACCACTTTTCCGTCTCCTCATCCGCGTCGTATCCATATTGGATGTCACTCTTCGTCTTATCAGCCCACTGATTCGCATTGCCCTCCAGCACAAGCGTGCTCTTCTCGCCGCGCGCAACGCGCAAAGCGTCCTCCATTGCCGCACGCATTTGGTTATCGCGTTCTTCTTGCTCTGGCCCGTCGGGGTGGTGGAAAATGTACCGGTTTAGATTTGAGGACACCTGTGTCGCAGTGGCACGTTCGTACCGAAGAGACTGGTAAGCATAGAGCAGCGGCGTAATCTGCGAACGATCCGAGCAGTGCGAGAATAGGTTGCCTAAGACGGCAGCATCTTCAATCTAGAACTCTGATATTAGCACTTGTTTGACTGTCGAGACTCCTTCTTACCGCCATGGCTGACCCTTGTGCACGGTAAGGCTATAGGAATATGACACTCAGCATGCGTTATTTCGATCGAGAATTCGCACAAACCAGCATTGGGTGGCATGAGTCGCCCAACAAGGCCAATTTACCATCCTTGTGAATCCACGAAGGCAGTGGGTCTCGGACCATCAACTTCCAATCGAGCGTTGACGGAATAAGCGCTAGAAGCTTTTGGATACTGCATCCAGTGTCACCAGTTAGCATGAACACAATGAGTGCATCAAAATGGAGTCACTGACACAATGTTCCACCCTTGGTAGCACTCTCTCATTCGTTCTACATTACCTCCCTCAGTCCACGATTCCACACCCCCTTCGGCTTCATCAGGGTGCATCATGACGAGGTTATATTCTTTCTTGGCACGCTGTGCAGCTCCCATTAGCTCCCATTGTCGACTATGTTGATCGAACTGCTTACAATATTATAGCCGACGATATGACCTCTAGGGCCCATCCAAATGATCGATTCCGTCTTCTCCACCAGTGATTTCAGGTCATCATCCTGCAGGAGTTTCTCGGTCGGGATAAGGGCTCTGTAAGCAGAGTCTCCAGTAGCCATGGGTGCATCGGGCCCGCCGACGACATACTGCCGAGTAATACTTTTGACTCCGTCAGCGCCAATGAGTACGTCAGCAGATACAATCTCCCCAGATGCAAGCGTCACACTGGGTTTTGACGGGTCCACGGATACGACACGACAACCTACACGTATGTTACAGTGTGGTTCAACCGCCACATAGAGCATACGGTGAAAATCGGCTCGCTGATTCAATCTGATCAGGCAAAATCAGTGCATCAGGGAGAGCACTCAACATGTACGTGGTAATAAGGGGAACCGTATTCCTTCACGAACGTCTCCCCAAATGGCGTGAACCCCACGACCTCATCATTCTTCCCTAGAGAACATCAATCAAGAACACCAAGACATTTAATCGTAACTCACATCGTCTAATGCTCAAATTGTGTGGTTTGACACCAAGCTCTTCGAGATGTGGGCCGAGACCCCAGCGCTTTAAGAGGCGCGAGACGTTAGGGCTGGCTTGAATGCCAGCGCCCACGTCACTGATGGCGAATGCTGCTTCAAGGATGGTAACTTTGTGACCTGCTTGTGCGAGGCAGTATGCAGCAGCGAGACCTCCCAGACCGCATCCTATGACTATGATGTCGAGAGGTAGAGAAGCTCGCCTTCCTTTGTATAGATGGTCGGGCTGGTGGGTCGTGTCAGCCTGAGACGTCCAGAAGGTCAGTACATAGTCTCGTGTTGATCGGTCTCACATTGTCACTAGCTATTTGAGGTTCTCTGGTGTCCATATCATACAAGGGCTGGAAGGATCAAGAAATGATGGATGGGACTGGAGTGTGTGAGTGAAAGATTGATATAGGCTGTAAAGGAGGGTTTACTATTTTGCCGCCTTATACTTATCGTCACCGAGTCGGTTCCCTCTGATGTAGACTATTAAATATTGAAATCAGGTCATATCGATCCAATGATTATCAAGGTTTCGGGTCAGTCTTCGCTGACTAGTCGTTTCTCAAGTTCCCTTCGTAGATTTGGTCTCTTGAATTGGAAGCAAGAGTGCCGTCTTACTTGAGCATTGGCTCTTTGATTTGGAAGCAGTGACTTACGATGGTTTCGCAGTCGGCGGGCCAGCTTCCTTCAAGTTGAAATTTGACGTCGCCGCTGCCGTGATCAAAGTATGTAGCAGTACCTTGCTAAGTCACACGGCTCTTGTAAGTTTATTTCAATTACTTTATTATTTATTATCTTTAAATCGATTTGGCGTGCCTGTGCAACAAGAGCCGTTCCGATTTGACCTGATTGGATATAAAGTGGGATGCATGTTGTCGAGAAGTTCATTAAGCGTTCGCGTCGCATGTAATACTGTCGTGATTCACAGCCAAGCCAAAGTAAGACCTCAACTTGAGCTGAGAGATGATCCTGTCCAATTTGTTTCTAATGTTCGCCATAGATTGCGACTGTGACAGCTAGAAATAGTTCTACAGGTCAGAAGCCACTTGCGAAACGGACACTCTAAGTTCTAACTATCAGAGCCCATCATGCATCAGGGACAGCGTACATAATTGAATTATCAAGATTAAATAGGGACGCTTACACCTGGGAGCTTACGATGATTATCTGCAACTTATCTGATACTAAATGTTATATATGCGTCCATAGTCGAAGTGCCGTCGAGCGCTCATCTGCCATGGATAATCGATTATCCGAGTCTCGTTAATGAAGGATCCGCTGGAAAGTAGTAACGGCAGAAAGTCGTTCAAACATCCAGTCAGACGCGCGATAGCAGAACCAGAAGTCTCGGGAACATCTGATGTCTTGTCGGGGAAGACTGATGGCCTCATCCTCAGAAAATGGATGCTCTGGGTCCGTCGCTTGGCTGAATTCGGTTAGAGGTTTATTACTGGAAAAGGCCGAGCTGCGCCGGCAGTACCCTTGTTCCACAAGTGGTGCGACACATTTTCGAGAAAGGTATGAAATGTATGTGGATCATCTCATCAAACATAAATATCAAATGATCGCATAAGAATCCCCGAAGTAGTAACACAAATGATAGGAGGATACAGAAGGGTCACTACACCGATGGCGACGGGAGAAGCTTGGTATAACGAGCTGGGGCCTCTCGGCAGGGCCTGCCCTCCCAACGATGACGACGGGGTGGCTTGCAAGGATGTTATTGTACGTCTTGAGAAATTGAGGTAGAAGATGCCGACGAAGCTTGTATAACATGCTGAGGGTTTTCAGCCTCTAGGACCGGTAGGACTCCTAAGGAGTCCGTGAGGGGTGGCTCTAGGGAGAGGCAGGTGGCTTTCGTCTGAGTCTTCTATTCAAGTAATAGTAAATTAGATTTGGCGACCAAGTAAAACAAATAAAATACCTAGTATTTTCAAAATTCCTGAGTCTGTGACAGACCTGCCCTAAGACGGTCCATTAGCCAGATCTTCTGCGCAACTCGAGACTCGACTCCAGAGGACTATAAAGTTGCTCGGTGAGTCAGCAAACGAAAAGTACATACCAGACATACCACTAGTTCGCAGTGACGTTTGACGATATGAGTGGACGTAGCTTCTTTACGCAGCCGTTCCCATCGTTAAACAACCACCGCTGAATCGACCCATGTCATCATAGAACAATTCTATTGCATACAAGCTCGTGATGCTTCTGGCACGCGTGTCGGATGTCTCAGAATCGAGGCACGATTCAAACACGACCAACAATAACTAAATGCTAAAAAAAACCAACACAACATTAGAAAGAAAAGGAACCAAAGACGGGTCCATTGCCACAGATTCGACTCACATGCACGAACGCCGATTCCGCGGGAGGATTTCTGAGCACGATGGCATCAGACGGAGTGGCGTTTGATACCGATACTCGATATCACGAGGAATTGCAGTGGGCACGATTAAGTATATATAGCTAGCTTAGCGTCGCACGTAAAATGGACACATGGACAGCCATGGACAAGAACTTGAACTTTCCGGCTGTGATGTTCTGCCCTAGAATTTTTCAAATGGGGTTCGTGGGTCTCGAAGCTGGGCGGCTGCTTACATAAACATACATGAGGGATAAGAATTACTATCAATTTGTCATGTTGCATTGTTACATTGTTACACTTGTAAAAAAAAAAGATGTTAAAAGAATATTGTGAAGATTCTAAATGTCACAGATCGGCTGCTCAATAAGTACAGTACCAGTGTGGGATAGAGCTGCAGAGCTAAAAAGCCACCAGATTCTCGTGTATCAGCCAGATAGTCCAGAACAGACAATACAAATAAACAAAAGACTCCTATGCAGTTAGTGATCGCGATTTGCAGAAGACATGACTCTTGGCTTGAGTTCGATTGAAGGAGCAAGGGCCATAAGCCTTTTCCCATTCACGAGCCACCACTTTTCCACCTCCTCATCCGCATCGTATCCAAATTGGATGTCGCTCTTCGTCTTATCAGCCCATTGATTCGAATTGCCTGTTAGTGTATATGTGCTCTTCTCGCCACGCGCAACACGCAAAGCGTCCTCCTTGGCCGCGCGCATCTCACGATCACGCTCCTCTTGCTCCGGCCCGTCGGGTTTGTGGAATATGAACCGGTTTAGACTTGAGGACCTCTGTGTCGCGGTAGCACGGTGGTACCGGATAGACTGGTAGGCATAGAGCAGTGGCGCAATCTGCGAACGATCCGAGCAGTGCGAGAATAGGTTGCCTAGGACGGCAGCGTCTTCAATCTAGAGAACTCTGATATTAGCACTCGTTTTACTGTCGACGCTCCTCCTTACCGCCATGGCCGACCCTTGTGCACGGTAAGGCTATAGAGATATGACATTCAGCATGCGCTATTTTGATCGAGAATGCACACAAACCAGCATTGGGTGGCATGAGTCGCCCAACAAGGCCAACTTGCCATCCTTGTGAATCCACGAAGGCAGTGGGTCTCGGTCCATCAATCTCCAATTGAGCGTCGACGGAACAAGTGCCAGAAGCTTTTGAACACTGCGTGCCGCGCCACCATTCAACAAAAGCATAAGGCGGGTATAAGACAGAGTTACTAACGTGGTATTCCATCCCTTGTAGGTTTCTATCATTTTGTCCACATTACCTTCAGCAGTCCATGATTCTATGCCCCCTTCAGTATCATCAGGGTGCATCATGACGAGGTTAAACTCTTTCTTGGCGCGCTACACAGCCCTCGCATTAGCTTCATGGTTAACCATGTTAAGCGAACAGTCGGCTTACAATAGTATAGCCGACAATGTGACCCCCGGGGCCCATCCATATATTCGATTCCATCTTCTCCACCAATGGTCTCAGGTCATCATCCTGTAGAAGTTTCTCAGCCGGGATGAGGGCTCTGTAAGCAGCATCTCCAGTAGCCCTGGGTTTATCGGGCCCGCCAACAACATGCTCCCGAGTAACACTCTTGACTCCGTCGGCGCCAATGAGTAAGTCGGCATATACGATCTCCCCGGATGCAAGCGTCACACTAGGTTTCGATGGATCCACGGATACAACGCGGCTATTAACACGGATGTTACAGTGTGGCTCAGCGGCTTCGTAGAGCACGCGGTGGAAATCAGCTCGCTATTCTAGCTTCGTCAGAAAGGATAGGTGCAGTATGGAGAGGACTAACATGTAAGAGGTAGAAAGGAAACCCGTATTCCTTATCAATCAAATTTCCAAGGGGTGTCCACCCTACGACTTCATCGTTGCTCCCTGGAGATTGGCATCAAGCAAGAGCGTCAGAACACTTCGACATAACTCACATCGTTTAAGGCTTAGCGCCTGGATTTTGACACCAATTTCTTGAAGCTGTGGGCCGAGACCCCAACGCATCAAGAGACGCGAGACATTGGGGCTGGATTGGATACCAGCGCCTATGTCACCGATGGCTGACGCTGCTTCGAGGATGGTGATGTTGTGGCCTGCCTGTGCAAGACAATATGCAGCAGCGAGACCTCCCAAACCACATCCTATGACTACGATGTTGAGGGGCAGCGAAGCTCGCCTTCCTTTGTATAGATGGTCCGGCTGAGTCGAGCCAGCCTGAAGTATCCAGAAGGTCAGCACATAGCTCCGTTTTGATAGGGCCCACATCAATACTAACTGTTTCAGATTGCTGTGCGTTCATTGTATCACTCAAAGAGCAGGACTTCGAGATAACAGAGTGGAGATGATAGAGGGGACTGAAAGTGATTGATGATTGATGTGGATGGACTATTGATATAGGCTGCTAAGGAGAATCGGAAGGTACCTTATTTTGTCGTATCGATCCAATCATCAGGAGTTCCGCGCCCAAATCCATCACTGGCTAGTCGTTTTGCTTTCCCCGTGGGTTCTGTCTCCTGAATTGGAATCAGGAGTAGTCTCTTACTTGAAGATGTCAGCACTAGTCCTTTGAGCCAGGGGGTAAAACAAATCATCCTTTCGTAGTTACTGGCCAAGATTGACTTCCGGGCGGCCGCTGCCATGAAGATCCATCACTCAAAGCATCTTGACAGTCAGGGATTGGTCTGTGTCTAAATGATTCGTTATCCGATAATCTCGACTTGTATGTCATGTGGACGCACATAATGTTATTACAATTGTTGAGTAAGTTTGTCAAAATGTTTATCCAAATTCTCATGCACACGAGCTTCCACAGAGAACTCGGGAGGTTTAACTCAGAGTCAGAATGCTTGCAAAGACGATTATAATAGGGGTGGGTAAGACAAGACGGTCGCAGTATGGTTGCCGGACTGTTGGGTATCCAATCAGTAATCCCATTCTCGATGAAAGGTAACGCAAAGGGACACTGCAAGGAAGAATGAATTACCGCAGTAAACATTTAGAATAGGAGACTCCCCGTGGCCGAGGAACGAAGACAAAATGTTGAATCTGCTCCATGTATACGGTCGACTATGACAGGCTTATGGAAGGATAAGCCTAGCTTGTATATTCACTGTTCTGAATGATGACAAGCGTGGGCATGTGTGACTCATGAGGTACAGTAGGGACTGTGCCACGGTCACGGGTTGCAGCCCCGGCCTCCGGGCAACCTATGCATGACGTATAGCGTAGGAGATAAGATTGAATGTTGGAATGAGCTGCCCAAGAGGTCAGTGCACTCATCCTCATTTAGGACTCCTGTCAAATGCTATTCTCGATAGGTAGGCACCATCGGACGTACGAGTAACCCGGGGATAGATGATGTTGAAAAAAAATTGAACATAGATGAGCGTGAACAGCTTGTAGATCTTTTCCCCTGTGGGTTCCTGCTGATGCATGGCGGATTCGGGAGCTCGTTAGTGTTAGTCTACCGCACCATCCAGGTCACAAACCTTGAGTCTTAACTGCGACAACATTCATTGGACAAATTTATCCTTCCAGAGGCAAGTTGCAGCAGAGATATCTTCGGGTAAGAGACAACTGTCTCCTTTCGGTAATGGTCTGCCTACGGGGAAGACTACCTTCATATGAGTTACGTGAAGCACACAACTTGCACTGATAGGCCACCCTGCTAGGCTCCTCCACGAAAGCGCGGATGCCTGATCGCAGTCTCTCGAAGATGCCGCCCAAATAGTCATTTTGGACGTCGAGTGCCTGCAAGCTCAATGCCACTCACTGATTGACTGAGCTCGGATTCCTTTTTCCCCTGCTTGCGCGAATCAACCAATCACTCTTTTACTATGACATATCCGTATCAAAGGCATAGATATGGTATCTGATCGAGTCGTGATACGGGTACTCGAGTCAAGGTTTCATGCATACCCACATGCCGGGTCGTGGAAACAAGGTTGGTGACCGCAGGTCGAGAAAGTTTGAGTTAGTGCCACAGGCACCTGATTATCGGGATAAAGTGAGTTGCCTGAGTTCCGCGAGTCGTGGAGATAAGTTTGGGTCAAGCAAGTTTGAGTTGGTGACACACTCAGTAGACACGGTGTGACACCTGGGTCCTGAATATTCCTGAATCATTACCCGTATTTAGTTTTAGACCTGCTTACATGAGCGCACTACGTAGGTGCCAATTCAGTCACTACCCACGAACCATCCCTGCAAATATTGTTACAATGTTGGATTGATCGGAGGGCAAGTTCTACATAATCTGAGGAACTAATATTAATTGCGTTTGTATTGGCTTAGATATCGTAGTGAGGTTTTTTCGTAGAAGCAAGCACTCCCTGAAATCGAATCGCCTGGGAACACGAAACATTGTATTACTGCATTTCGTCGCACCTGCTTCCGGGATATTGGCTAGTCATGCAAGCATGTGCATGAAGTTCCGGTCCGTTACGCGCGATGCAATGCCTGACATTTGGAGTTATCGCCAGCACCGCTAAAGCTAAGTTAGTGAGCAATGTGTCTTATCGTTGATCTGAGTGCTCTCTATTCGGCTATTCCATTCAGGCGGATTGCGATGGGTACGACGTACCACAGGTCTCGGATGGGTCCTCCATGATGGCAAGAGCCCGGGTCAAGTTGGGTCAGCACAACAGATCGCCTAAGAGTTGCATAGTACTTACTGCAATCGAGTGATGAAGCCACGGTTGACTGCTGGTAGCGTATAATCTTCAACGACACTGTTGTCCGTGACTGTGGGCATCGCATTGTCAAAACGTTTTGGCGTCGTCGATTTGCATTGCATTATTGCAGCGTGTCGCGTATCGTATTGTCGTCAACGCACACGTTTCGTCAATTCATCCATGCACGTGTGCAACACAATCTTACATCACTCCATCAATCTCTCGATGACTTCACATTAAAATGGTGAAATATGATCTTAACATACCCTACAATATTTGAGGACATGTGATAATGTACAGATGCTTGATTTCGACCGCTATTTTCCTGCATATGAGCTCAAGGCGGTGTGGAACAGATGATCCTTGTTAGCAAGAACGAAGAGCCGTTCGACCGCTGCTTTCGGCTCAGGATTGGCAACCATCTCCCAATGAGCCTGGAAATTCACGACAGCATCAGTACGTGCAAAACCATGATAATATCAAAGTCTACCTCAACGCTCGACCAGCCGCCAACAAGAATAATTGCATTCTCGTCCTCCAGCGTAGGACCAAATATGAGCTTCTTCTCGGTTAAGTCTGAGAGATTATTGAGGATGTCGAACACCTCTGCACGATGGCTGGGATCTTTGAGGGTGATGAGGAGGACCTCCGTGACAGGCTGCTGGAATGTGGGATGATCGTTGAAAATGACATGATACATCTTGAATGGGCCCCCAATGGTGGGTTTCAGAGCTTCGAGAAGAGGACCGTACGAGGAGGAAGTCATGAACGCTTGATGGTGCGCCAGGCTATCCCAGTCTAAAGCCAGGGCATGATGGGCTCACTTTCAACGACTAGCAAAATGCATAACACGTACTGAGGAAGAGATACCCTGTAGCTGGGTTCTCGATCTGTAGCCCGAAGTAGACGGGCCTATCGTGGTAACAGTATGATTATGGTGTCCAATGCCATGGGCAGCAAGAGAACCATACGCACTTGTGGACACCATCAGCCTTTGAAACTATGTCGGATGCAGGACGTAAACATGAGACGTCCTCACGAAACTTCTCTGATGTCTCGAAGATGATGATTTCAGTCGTTGGGATAGTAGACATGGTTGCGGGAGAATTTCTGAAAGAGTCCCTTACAATATCCCCTAAATATAAAGTCGGACTCTGGAAGTGCTACCTGTGTCGGAAAAAAACTATCATAAAATAGAGTTAATTCGCTGCGGTGACAACAAGCTGATGTGTGGGAAGAGGCTGTAGCTAGAGCAGTGCATACTAGCACTGGTTGAGATTAGCTTGGTATGTAGCTGAATGGTTGATATCGAATGAAATAGCGTGATGACGAGTGTGGTTGATGCCTGGATTGAAGATTAGCTGGCCCAGGGAATCACGAAGCGGTTCGTGGATAGTATTGTGAGCAAACCTATTTTGAAGCAGCTCAGGACTGCCAACTGACAAAATTCCTCGGCGGAACCATGTTCTGTCGGGTGGTAGAATTTGCTATTTTGATGTGAGACTACTAGATAGCGAGAGCACCACCAGCACTCACTCTACACTGTAAGGCTCCTCGACATCTGGCTTCAAGTTGGCTGGTAATAATCAGAAAGAGGTCGATTTAGACCTGTCAGAACACTGTCGTGTCAGTACGTACGTGGGTCCTGGGAACTATACATTTATCCTGTGATTACCAAGGCTGTGGCAAGTACTAGTCCCAACCACACGGTGTTTTCGCGCTCTCCCTTCCCATTCGCATCCCAGTCCAAGGAGAATTCTCCGTGCATCGTTATTTTCCCACTACAAGTGTCTTCTAGTCGAGCGAACTCAACTTTAAAATCAGTCTCGGGCCACTTGGCAGTCACGGTATCCTCGGTAGTAAAGCCGGCTTTATAAACCTACTTTCAGCAAGGGAATTGAGAGGACGGCCTCCAGACTTAGGCATCGTAAAGAAGCTGTAGTTCTACCCAGGAGATTCCGCTCTGTCATGTGGCAGAATGGCATGGTTCTGCCCACAACTCTATTCGTGGATCCGACAGACAGTGATCCAAGGCTCAAGCCAGTGATTACATTAATGAGCACAGATGTCATCAATATCGGTGCGTTTACTAATTTTCAGGCTCAATACACAAGTATCTGTGAGATATTGAGCAATATTTATGTTATACGAACAGCAGACTCGTGACCAGCATGTCTATCGACATAGTACGAACAGGTCACCAGTCTGCGAACACAGGGCATACGTGCATGTCACTTAACTCAAGGCTGCTATTCGGAATTTCAGATCCTATCCATCCGAACATGTGGGAGGAAAACGTACACCTCACAGGTAAGGACAGTCAGTGCTCTGCAGATACCATACAGATTTAACAGATCCATCAGATTCAGAGTTTTTGAGCTTCATCGATACATCTTCTGCTCAGCCGCAACTTCGCATATGCCACCACTGACCAGTGATCATATAAATGACAGTCAAATGCTCGAACAGAGGTGCAAATGTATGAATCGTACAATACTATAATAAAAACTCCTGGCACGTTATCGATATGTCGAGTCGCACAGATGTACCAGGTTTACACGAGCGGACCTATCCGAGAAGTCGAAAGGTCGTCTAACAAGTCACTCGGGCACCAGGGCAACTGGCTATCGCACAGTTGTGCTAGATAACAGTTTGCGCCTGGACTATGACAGAATGTGATGCGATGTAGCGGAAACGCCGGATGGACCCGGTGCGCAGTAATCTGTCACTGCAATCATTCAGCGACTTTCCGAGTCAACGAGCGAGTCGCGACAGTAGGCGGCAGTCTGGGAATTTCGGGTCCTGGGCGCTTGGTCATGAAATCCAACAATAGTATCACAATGGCGTTCGTTATGTAAGTGCATGCGTGATGTATGATCTTTGCATGGCCTTTATGCACTAGGCGCCCTCACCGGCGCTGGTCTTGCTCGAATGAGCTACCATTGATAACCCCAATAGCACCGCATGTGCTATGTGCCGACACCTGCTACCATTTTTGTTTTGATAGAAGGAACAAGTGCCTTCCTTCTGCCTACGAGCAAGGATAACAGTCTCCTACATGGGTTGTCACTGGTGCACGGAGTATATCAGCTTCCCATTGTCATATATGGTCTGAATCTGAGGCGTTTCACGGTTAACGTTGATTGGTTATAGAACGATTTGCTGCAAAAGTCACTCATATAATACAGAATTAAAGAAATGCATACTAGCAGCATATGGCCGGTCTGACCTGCCAGTGCAAGCGCAAGCAGGCTATTATGGGGTACGGAATTGATGCAGGGACGGCGTTATGTAGGTTATTACTGCTAATTCTCACACTTTCATTTGCTGAAGCACTAAAACCGAGGTGACTCGGTGGTCATATGTACAGATCGCTTTGTGCCAGCTTCTCGAATTTCAAAGTTTGATATAGATCATATCATGTTACTGTGTCACACGGTACACCTCCCTCTGATCTGGGCTTTTACCCCACACTCTACCTAAATTTATACCGAGTCTGGGCTTATAAGGTCTGGGTATGCTTTCCAGGTCGTTGCGATGCCTTCCCTCACAGCATTCCGTCACTGATGAGAAATTTGTGATACAGAAACTTATAATATAGTATTACATGCTTTGAACTCGACTTCAGTATCCTCAAGAGACAAACCCTACTTTCCCGTGAAAGAGGTGAAGCTGGTGTGGAATAGATGGTCCTTGTTGGCAAGAGTGTACAACCGTTCAAGCGCAGCTTTCGTCTCAGGCTTAGCGACCGCCTCCCAATGAGCCTAGAAGTCGACGGCATCAGTATGTCTAGAATTGTCAACAATCTCCGCGCATACCTCAACGCTCCGCCAACCAGCAACGAAAATAATCACATTCTTATCTTCCAGCGTAGGACCAAACACGGCCATCTTCTTAGTCGAGTCCGAGAACTTGGTGAGGATATCAAACACCTCTGTGCGATTACTGGGGTTCTTGATGGTAAGGAGGAGAACTTCCGTGACAGGCTGCTTGACTGCGACGGGCTGAGCATTAAAAATCACATGGTACATCTTCGACCAACCCCCATATGCAGGGTTTCAGGGCTTCGAGCAGGTTCGGGTACGAGGGGGAAGCCAGCATCGCTTGATGGTGTGCTAGGCTATCCCAGTCTGAGACAAGGGAGTTATTTCAAGACCTAATGAAATATGTAAAACATACTCATGAAGACATAGCCTTTAGCAGGATTCTCGATCTGGATTCCAACGTAGGCAGGTCTGTTGCAATAATAGTTTGATCAAGGCGCCTGTATCACCGGTGATGTATACCACCAGGAGAGCAATACGCACATCTGGATACCACTAGACTTTGAAACTAGCTCGAATGCAGGTTTCAAGATTGAGCGGTCCTTACGAATCGCTTCTGTAGTGTCAAAAATGACGAGTTCGCTAGTTGGGATAGGCATAGATGCGAGTAAAACTTTGGGATAAGTGGTCTTTACAACGGTCCTTAGGTATAAATACCTTGGTCAATGAATTTCAAACTTTCTTGGGACTTGTGTTATCCAGGGTGATATCATCGGAGAAAGTCTCGTGATAACTCAGCAGTGCGGACGGCTCTTGGACGCCACTTTTAATAACTCGGTCCGTGTGAGAATGACAAAGATATAATCAACAGGTGATCAGCGAAGACAGCATAGAAGCGAGCGCTGCTAAGCAAACTACATCCATTGCACCCGCGGCAGTCAGCTGTCCCCGAGTATATGGTTCTGTCAGCTTGAGTAGGGGGATGCTAGGGAGACGGCAGTATCGATCCAGTAAAAGCTCTTATCAGGGGGATACTGATGAGCCTGAACTCTTGTAACAGCTCGCCCTTCTGGATTTAGAACACCCTATACCTTCAACTATCCGATTCAGAGGGAATGAACTATCCGATCAGCTGCTATCCGCATTCATGGATAACAGATTCAGGGCTTGGTCGTGAAGTAGGGTTTCCGCCCCCGGGCCAGCGGCCGTAGGTTATAAACAACTCAGACAAAGAATCAGATCAGTGTTGAGAAAGCTAGTTTAGGTGTACGCGCGACTCACATAAATACCGTGGGACCCCGATTCCTTCATTCCAGCCAGAAAATTGCTCGACTGAAGCCACAAGCTTTGACACCAGTCTGAAAAGCCAAAACATTCGTTGGTTCAATCACATTATGTGTGCAGAACTTCGAAACTTCCACCATTGAATAGACAGTGATCCCATGTGCAGAGCTTAGAACTTCTACCATTGAATAGACGGTGATCCCGTGCGGCGTGTACGATCACCGGAATCCGTCGCGGACGGAAGACCCACAAGAACGATATCAGTAAGTGCTAGAAGAGTGATGCTATCAATAAGAACGGTGATGAAGATAATGACTAACTGAGGCCCATAAGGGCAGCGACAACCCTAATACTGGGCTCTGATGATCACATGCTGAGATCATCAGGGAAAACCTCCTTCACGAAATCAAGGTAATTTCAGAGAATTCCTCTGAATTCCGCTGAAATAAAAGTAAACGAGATTATTCAACTCCAGTCGAAATTCCTTTGAATTCCTTTGAAATCCTTTGAATTTGCTGATTGATTATCTTGAATTATCTTGAATTCAAACAATGTGAAGACACACGAACATCAAATATATTAGAATTAAACGAGAATATCACAACCGAAAGACGGCAAAAAGATCAGCAGACTCGAAAAAGCACCAGTATGTACAAATGACTCGGAAGGTTGATTAATCTTCACCCATTGCATCAAGATCAAGGTAATCACAAGCGGCGTCCAATGAACCAGCGGGCTCTGAGCTTTCTACTGCACTAATGTTGAATTAGTTAGAGTACACGACGATAACAAATAGCGCGTGAGCAAGACATACCTGACTGCCTTGTAGAGACGCGCCATCAGTACATGGTACTTCTTTCGACTACCGTTAAAGATGCGTGTGAGAGTCGCTTGGTGAGCGTTGTAAACACTGATGTGGAAGGAGGAATTGAATGATTTGACTTGTGCGCCTGAGGGTGGGTTCCCGCTGCTCCAATCCTTCAATATCGAGTAAATCTGCAGAGAACATTATGTAGTGAGCAAACAGAGTAAACATTATCAAGAGCGGCACCTACAAGCGTTGCAATCAAACACACCATAGCAACAGGTAGCTCGGGCTCGTTGTTTCCATCCAAGACCGAGACAAAATCGTCACAGGACTGGACACCAATTGAGTTCTCACCATCGAAAAAAGATAAACGGATGGAGTCAACCATAGACTCGTCACAAAACGGTTGGTCCCCAAGGACCTTACCCTGGGTGGTGGATAAGAATAAGATAAATGAAGAGATAGATAACGAAAAAATGAACAGACCTTGGCGTCGGTTGGGAAAATATACTTGTGACCCTTGATGAGGTCGTCTACCTCGTCACCGCAGCCTTTCTTGAGTCCAAAACGAGAGACCACAATTTGATGCGCGAGTTTCTTGAGATTAGTACGGAAGGAACTAAGCCGTCCCTCCGGCTTGTGAGGATGTCAGTGATGTCCAGTAACATACAAGAAGTGTACATACCACTCCAGCGAGAGCCACCGCATAATCAAAGTCATGCTTGATCCTCTTTGCTATCGCATATTCCTTATGCTTCCCGGCAGCATTATAAACTGCATCGAGAGCCATCTTGCGCTTCTGAGTGATGTTGGGAAATGCGTTGTCGAAGATAGAGGCTTTCTTGAGTTCAAAGATGGCAGTCTTCAACACCTGCTGAATCCGAGTATTCTGAGCCTTGAGGTTGATCGAGCTATCGGCTGAGTAGACTAGATCTGTGAATATAGGCCATGTAAAGGAGTGTTCAGACAACTCCTTATCGGCGGAGGCTGGCAGTGCCTCGTCTGTTAGCTGCCGCGACTCTGCGAATTTGGGCCTCTAGAAAACAGTATATTCATTAGTAAGACAGAGTGATGGGAGCGTAGTAGAGTAGAACACATCACCTCAATTTCTTGACGTGCTTCTGCTACTTTGCTCCTTTTCTTCTTCTTCTTCTTGCTTGGCTGTGGTTTCGAGTTGGTGAGTGATGAAGGCTCGCGGTAATCATAACTTGCCTTGGAACGTTGACTGTCACTGCGGTCACTGGCAGACTCCGTGTCTTTGTCAGCAAACTGCAACTCTGACTCAGACTCGTCAGAAACCCCGCTAGATGTCATCCGAACACTATTCGACAATGTTTTGCTGGTTTGCGATAGTGCGCTGGCAGATCTAGCTGCACGAGGAGGCATCATGTAGGGAATCTTAAATAAAAGGTGCGTCATTTTTTTCATCATTCTCAACTTTGGGTAGCTAAGTGACGACTCACCTCTTTAATCAGTTCCTTCTGGGAGGGTACTAAGTCCTCATCATCGTCTTCTGGAACCTCCGCATTATCGTCCGATTTGTCGGTGTCATGATCACTCTCTCCGTATTCACTGACAGAGTCGTTATCTTCGATTGACACTGCGACTGACTTTGGCAGCTTGCTGTTTTTCTTATCGCGGCCTTGACTTTGACCATGACCGTTGACTTGATCCGCTGTTGAGTATCTCTCATACTGATCTGTTAAGCAACTACTAACCATTGTCTAACTTTTCTGCAGGTGTCTTTCGCGCTAACTTGGCGGCTGGTACTGATTGTAGCGCAGTTACTGTGGGTGCGCGCTTACGAGTATTGGTCGTTGTCTCATTCTTTCGCGCTAACTTGGCGGCTGGTACTGATTGTAGCGCAGTTACTGTGGGTGCGCGCTTACGAGTATTGGTCGTTGTCTCATTCCAGACTGAAACAAGGTGTGTCAATGACTGCTTTCTCCAATTGCCTGTACTAACTTTTTCGCTCTAAGGCCTTTACTTTGGATGACCGCTGCAGTGGTTCTTGGTGATGACTGTGAGTCCATCGCATTTTTCTTGGCCTATGGATGTACTCACTCTCTTCTGTATTGCCGGTTTTTTTGCCAGTGGAATCTTGACTTGCCACCTGGGCCTTTCTTTGGGCGTTCCGCTTGTGGGCGGCTATATCTGACGGCGTTGAAGACAGATGGGGACTCGGAGGCATACTACTAGTAGTGTTTGCTTCAGCTGAAGTTGGGAAGGGAAAGGTTGAGACGGTTATGAAAACTTATTGGTGGCCACTCTCATTTTCAGGTCTGTTTTTTTACTGTGCTGTGCCAGCGCTAGGGTCGTTGGTTTTTTTTTCATCTAACGTGTGGTTACAGAAATGGCTAAAACAAGCAGAGCGTCTACTAGCAGAATTTCAAGCTGCAACCGTCAACTTGAATGGTGCTCCCTCTCCTCCCCTCTCAGGTTCAGCTCGCCGCATCATCAAAGAAGCTGAGGCACGTGTAGCCCATGCTGATGGACAGAGAGTCCAGGCAGAAGCATGTACTGCCAGGCAACAAATCCAACTCGGTTCACAGTGTGCCACCATCATTTTAGTACGTTTGTTTGTTGCCGTGCTGTCACCGTAATCTAACCTGTTCTGAAATATCAAGTAAATTCGTGTTGTGTGGCCGCGTCTTCGTACCCTTCCATGCTAAGGAAGGGAGCCTGTACCTTTTTGAAACAACCGCGTCTTCGTACCCTTCCATGCTAAGGAAGGGAGCCTATACCTTTTTGAAACAACCGCGTCTTTGGCCGCGTCTTCGTACCCTTCCATGCTAAGGAAGGGAGCCTGTACCTTTTTGAAACCTGTACTGCCAGGCAACAAATCAAACTCGGTTCACAGTGTGTGAATCTTCACACTGGATAGCACGCTGTAAGGTTTGCACCGTCTCTCTACTACCCATCACTACCTACCTACCTACCACCACTACCTACCGCCTGTTTTGTTGCCAACAAAATGATCACTTGCCCAGGTTGCACCAAAAACTTCGAGCACGCTGGATACTCCCATCACCTAGCCAAGACCACGAATCCATCATGCGCAGCCCTATTACAACATTCTGGTCTTTTTCCTCAGTCAGAGCCTGAGGTTGAGAATTCTGACGGTCTTGATGATGGAGATGACAATGTTGATCCTCGTCATCTAACGGAATTTACAGGAGACTATTTTGGCCACTACAACGAACAAGATCTGGAATGGCCAGATGATAATGACGAAGTTGCAGCGGCGGAGCCTCCTTTGGATTCTGATGGCGAGGAAGAGGATCACAATGCAGAGGTTGAGGTTGAGAATGGGTGGGAACGCCCTGCAGATCCTGTACCGCAGGATATCGACGTTGATGTTTTTGAGGAGTCAGATATGTTGCCACAATCACATGCAGCCGAACGACAAGAAGCGGAGAAAGCCCTTGGTCGCCAGCCCACTATTGAGAAATTTCCGCGGCGCCATGCAGGTGCTCCAATACTTAACTCTGGCACTACCGCTTTCGAGTCTTATAACAATGCTCTGCAAGGCGCAGACAATGTTTGGGCTCCCTTCGCATCTTGCATAGACTACGAGGTTGCAAAGTGGGCAAAACTTCGTGGATCGGGCTCAACTGCTTTTTCAGAGCTGCTTGCAGTCGAAGGGGTGAGTCTTCATTTTCTTGGGTCATGAATGGGCCAACTTTTTAACTACGTTTCTATAGCTTCATGATGCCTTAGGTCTTTCGTATCGAAACACCCGTGAACTCAATCAAATCATTGACCGACACTTACCATGCCGACGACCTCGTTTCAAACGTGAAGAAATCATTGTTGCAGACGAAGCATTTGACGTGTACTCGCGTGACGTCATGGAGTGCGTCAAAGCCCTTTATTCAGATCCGGATTTCTCGCAACACCTCAACTACACTCCCGAACGCCATTATGTCGATGCTGACAAAACAATCCGAATGTATCATGATATGCATACAGGAAAGTGGTGGTGGTCCATGCAGGCGAGTCTTTTGAAAAACGTTCTGATTCATATTGAACTTACCACAATATCATTTAGAAAGAACTCGAAGCAGAGAAACCTGGCGCAACAGTCATACCCATCATCCTTTCCTCCGACAAGACACAGGTCACCATGTTTAGGAACAAATCTGCCTATCCTGTCTATATGACAATAGGCAACATTCCGAAGGAGATCCGTCGAAAGCCATCTCGACGGGCGTGGATTCTCCTGGCCTATCTACCAACCTCAAAACTCGAACATATCACAAACAAGGCTGCGAGGCGCCGAACGGCCACAAATTTATTTCATGCTTGTGTGCGTCACATTCTGGAGCCTCTGAGAGTCCCCGGCAAGGATGGTGTTGCTATGGCTAGTGGGGATGGAGTTGTGCGTCGAGGACATCCGATTGTCGCATGTTATTCCGCCGATTACCCGGAACAGTTGTTGACAACTGGGATAAAATCTGGAGAATGCCCAAAATGCGATGTCCCGCATGAGGAGTTGGGAAGTCCTGATGTTCCTGTCAAGCTGCGAGACCTCGAGGCAATTGTCGCTGCATTGTCGCTCGTTGATGAGGACTATGACTTGTGGAGACAAGCATACCAGGAGCGCGGCATTAAGCCCATCTACAAACCATTCTGGCTGGATCTCCCGCATGCTAATATATTCCAATCCATCACGCCGGACGTGTTACATCAACTCTACCAGGGTATTGTAAAGCACCTCATCGAGTGGATCAAGGAGGCATATAGCGAAGCCGAAATTGATGCTCGTTGTCGTAGACTTCCCCCAAACCATAATATCCGATTGTTTCTCAAGGGTATCAGTAATCTCTCGCGTGTTAGTGGAACGGAGCACAATCAAATCTGTCGCTTCCTGCTCGGCATTGTCATTGGCATACGGTTGCCTGGAAATCTCAACAATGCTCGCCTTACTCGTGCTGTTCGTGCCATCCTTGATTTCCTGTACCTTGCGCAATACCCTTGTCATACGGACGAAACACTGGCACTTCTCGATGATGCCTTAACACGCTTTCACGACAATAAGGACATCTTCCTTGATCTTGGAATCCGCTCGAATTTCAACCTTCCGAAGCTTCACGGCTTCCGTCACTATGTACATATGATAAAAACGTATGGTACAACTGACAACTACAACACCGAGTACACAGAACGTTTACACATCGACCTCACGAAGGATGCCTATAGGGCTACCAACCATAAAGACGAGTACACTCAAATGACACTCTGGCTCGAAAGACGGGAGAAGATTCTATGGCACGACAACTTTGTCCAATGGCGTCTCGTTGGTGATATTGCCCCGCAAGAAATCATACCTCCAGACATGGATTATCGTCGCGCAATCAAGATGACTAAACACCCGACCATCAAGCGTGTCCAGTTGGACCGCATTGTGCGGGAGTATGGCGCCACATTTTTCACTGAAGCTTTGGCTCGTTACGTCGTCGGGAGAAATCAACCTGGTTTGTCTGCAGCACAACTCGAACGCGAGGCCGCTCACATCATTATTCCCTTTGATACTGTGGCTACGTTCCACAGGATCAAATTCAACTCAATCAATGCTCGGGGGATCCAGGACTCGAGTGTCACCGTGGATTCTGTCCATTGTCAACCATCACAAGAGGACAAGCGAGGGCATATGATCCCCGCGCGTTTTGACACAGTTTTGGTCAACGAAGGGGACGGCGGGACAACAGGCGTGGATGGTGCGTTTTGTATGGTGCATTGAACATGTTAGTCACTAATCTCACTCGATCACTGAAGGTTACCGTGTTGCGCAAGTCCGTGTCGTCTTTACGCTAACAAATCAAGCTTCGAATGTGTTATTCCGCGCTGGACCTGCACAACCACCCACCCACCTTGCCTATGTGGAATGGTTCACTCCATTCCAGCAACCGGAATCACACCATGGGTTGTACAAAGTTGCCCGCTTGATTCGTCATGGAGAACATCTGGCAAGCATCATTGAGATATCAGATATCTGTAGGAGCATTCATCTTATACCTAATTTCGGCGTAGCGGCACCTCGTGAGTGGACGAGTAGCACTGTTCTGGAGTGCTGTTCCACCTTCTTTGTAAACCCCTTCAGTGACCGACATGCTTATTTAACACTTGTCTGAGCATTACAATGAAATTTGTTGAAATACCTTTGAATACAAATAATTTACCGAATTCTCAGTATTTTCATGCGAGTTTGTGAAATTACCTTGATTTTGTGAAGGAGGTTTTCCCTGATGATCGTCGATCAGCTCGCCGACCTCCGTGGTGACCAGATCTTCGGTTATGGCGGCTTTGGTCAAGCATTGATTGACGCCCGCATCGATATCTCCTGTTGCTTGCGCTTTTTGTACAGTTCTGTCATGATATCAGCATGCCATTCTCGAAGGAGAAGAACGAAGAACATCATGTCATGATTTAGTCGTAAGAATCAAGATGACAGCTCGGTCCGGACCTTACCGAAGAAGTGCGAGCGAGTAGCTGCAACCCCAAGAATGTTCATCCACTTTCAGAAAGCTCATTGTCCCGGCAGGTTACCATGATATCATAGTGATATGTTGTAGCTGTTTCCATAAGTGGCTCTGCAGGGACTGAGTAGTCAAGGCAAGATGTTTAGATGGTGGTTGAGTACATCTTCACTAAAGCACCCAAGGCCCGCGGGTCTCACGACTTTGCGCAGGATGTTGTGCGAGAGGAAGGCTATCATCGTCTGATGTGAGCCGGGCTCTCCCAATCGGAAGCCAGCATTGGCACCGACCCCCTTTTAAAACTAGCGAAGCACGCAACTGTCACACATACCGAGGAGATATGATATAGCCAATCGTTTGGTTCTCGATCTGCACTCCAGCGTAGGCAGGCCTATCACGACCATAATATGTAGTATGATCCGGGCCCCACGCGCTTCTCATCATACGTAGCAGCCAGAGAACGACGTTTTAGAACTGAACGTTAAGTCAGACTTAGGTACAAGTTAGTGCACGGCGGGCGAGAAACGAAGTAAGAGACGCACCCTCTATCCCCAGATAACGGACTGGGGAAAGAGGGTGAACACGAGGATTCGGTCATATATAGTAGTGGTAACATTCCAAACATTCAATCTCCCGCTTCGCGTCGACATCCAAGCTCCAACACGACGCATCTGGATACCATCAGCCTTTGAAATTACTTCCAGTGCCGAACTGAGTGGTCGTTATGAGTAATTTGACTCAATATAAAGAAACAGCGGCATGTCAATATACCCCACAAAATGACAGATATTCAAAAAAACCAAGAATGGATTCAGGTTATACTAGCTTACATCACCACTAAACATCCTGGAGTGCGCAAGTTACTCGTCTGAGTTGTGTTTAAGGAGGAACACGTACATCTCGTGAATGCCTACTGCTCTGAACATATCATGATCATTGGTAATTTCAGAGTCTACTTTTGAGCTTCATCTTCTGCTGAGCCGCAGCTTGCCCGCGTTGTAGCATGGGTCGAATGTAAGGCTACGTTGACTGAGTAAATGATACCAAATAACGAACAAAGACTTACAGCATAAGCGGGAGTAACTTCATACTTGTTCATCGGCTCCATCTGCACTCGTTTCCAGAGTGCCTCATAAACGCGGCCATCGAAGACTCCCAGTGCGCTATCGAACGTAGTCAGTACGTCAACTGTACGAATATAGTTTGCAAGTACCTGTCTAGGGACCAATCCGAGAAGCCGAAAGCATCTGTTAGACCAATGGCATTGGGCAGGACTTCAAGACAAAGGGCTTTGACGGCTAAACGCAGATCTTGCGTAGGATCGCCAGCACCCGTATGACGAATCAACCCAACCGAAAGGAGGTCCACGAGTGCACTTTCAGCACTCGTTAGTAAGTACTGTGAAAGCGATACGATCAGAACGTTTGTGGTGGCGAAGATAGCAACGAACCAGCCTATAAAGGCAGCCAACGACTCTCGCGTCCTCCGAAGGTAAATTGGTGAGATTGTTGATCATCTCACCGACCTGTGCTGCGACAAAAGCCTCTGTTATAGCTCTGGCCAAGCGCTGATTGACGTTCGCATCGACATCTCCACTCGCTGGCGTCTGTGTGAAATTCTTGACCATAAGAGCAGCACGCCACTCTAGAAGAAGGACAACGCTGCGGACATCATGCCAAGTTGATGCAGTGACTTGTGGAGGGGCCTCGCTGGTCGTGGACAAGAGACGCAGATAAGCCGATGGAAGGGGAAGATTGGCAACAGCTGAGGTTGACGAAAGCACAGCTTTGCATAGCTTTGTGGCGGCACGCACTACTTGTCCGTCCAGGACAAAGTTGTCCCCTTCGAACCTGGATGCCTCTTCAGTGTCAGTTAACGCTCAGAAGGTAAAACACACGTTGCGGAGGGGAGGTATTCAATGTATAATCGTCCTAGCCCAGCAAATGCACTGTACCCATGTCCACCCATAGAACGCCGAGCGGTTTCAATATCAATAATTCCTTGTGTAGTGACAAAGACTTTTAAGCCACACAAGAGAGCATGCATCTCTGGAAGAAGGGAAGTGTCCCGACTTGCAAGCCGCTCTTGCATCTGAGTCAACGCTTTGATCTGACCATCGCGGAGGTGAGTACTTGGACCAACGAATAAAGAAGTAAAACGAACCGTGTACCTCCCGAGCTCAATAAATACAAATGCCCTAGATAGGATGGGCAACAAGCGGTAGTATGTTGAAGGGTATGTCAAGACTTGACGCTCGAGTCCCTTGGCATCTAGTTCGCCCTGTCTCCGGACAGTCGTGTAACGAATAGCAACTGTTGCAGCTGGAAGAGGATTACAATTGGGATTACACTGGATGCTTAGAGCTCTACCTTTGGCTATGGTCCATCCGGCCGACGGTATCATGCTGGGATGCTATATTGTTAGTACTGTTGAGCAGAAGCGCAGAGAATTGACAGACGTTGCCCTGATATACATCATCTGGTACATCGTGTCAGTAATATCAATATCAGGGCGAATTGAAGAGAGTTACTCCTCCATAGCTGAGTTTTGCGTGAGGAGGTTGGATATAACTACCCTCTATCGTGACCTCGGCAAACTTCGAGAACATGTTTGTCCTGGGTATCCGTACGTGATCAAATATCGCGAAGCCTTGGTCTTGTGCAGCCATGCCTGAAGAGAATACGTCAAACAAGGCATCAAAATGGCTTCAGATTTCACTTACCTCCCGAGGCCTTTGGACCAATGTCGCCAACAGTGATTCCTCGGAGAGGTTTGTGGTCCTCTGCAAAAGCATTCAGTGCCGCTATAAAATAGGCGACGCCCAGGCGAACCTAGTGAGCGCAGCTGCACGAAGAAAAGGTGAGGTCCCATATCCTTCCCATCCGGCAAGATCAACTTTGCCTGGACAGCACCATGAGTTGCGGACTTTCCCAGAGCACCGATCCACCATTTAGTACTCGTAAGACTGGGAGAGTTTAATTCGAACTCTTGAGTTTCCGGGATATACGTCGAAGTAGTTTCTAGACGAGCTACATTTGTACCGTGACCGAGTTCTGTTTGCATATAACACCTGAAGCTTCCTAGTGAGTGTAGTTCAGGAGAAAACGACTTGAAGCCAACATACCCTTGAATGCCCTTCTCATGCACCAAGTCCCAATAGTTTTCCATCAATGCGGGAGATCCTTGACCGAGGAAGACCGGCTGGAATGCTACACAAATTTATGAGTGTGTGGTCTGCGTGAAGGATATAAGTCTGCATACCAACGTCATGTAGTTGGATTGATACTACTTCCGAAAGAAGTGACGAGGCTGTATTGTATTCTTCTTGAGACCAGCCATGGATTCTTTGTAACTCAGTCAGCCTATTTACGATTGAGGCAGCTCTGATATGTTGATCTGTCCGGCCTAGAAAGTCCCTGAGAGAATAAGAAGTACGAAAGACAAGATGACTGGCACCTACCTGTGCTGTTTGTCAAATAATGGTTCTTGCACAAGAATCTTTTCCAGGCGTTGACGCAGATCCCACACTTTCTGCCCACCTGAGAGAAGTTAGGGCGTTACAAGAACTAGGATGTCCTAGAGTGTTTACCATATAGATAGTTTCTGACAGTCTGGACGCTGATTGAGGTTTGTGAACGTGCTGCATTCATATCAGCAGCTGTCTGTTGGTTGACATCGACTCTTGGTCTAGGCGCCATTGTCTTTGTGCTGGCAAGATTAGAGGATATGAGTGACCCGAACGTTATACGACAAAGGTACGAGAGCTCGTGATCTTCGAATTACCGGCGCAGTCACCGTTAACAACAGTAATACTAGTACGGACTTCGGTACCGTAACTCGGCACGGACGTATTTTTCCTCTCATCTGGCAACGACGTCAAGCTGTTCGACGTGGCGCTCGCTGTTCGACGTGGCTCGTACAATTTCCAGTAGAATATTCCTTCCACCCCTGAAGTCATTACGCACCGTAATTCCATCAGTAGATATCGATGCAAGTCATCGATGCCGTTCGTGTAGTGTAAACATCAAATGAATTTCTCAACTCGTAAGCAGGTTTCCCTACATAGCGGCTCCCCGTCCCGACGCTTGGACCAACCCAACACATTATCACCGACTTCAGGCGAATGTATGAGTGTCGTCCATAGACTATTGCCGCACTAATGCCACTACTACTAGTGCCCGGCGTAACGCATCTGTTCGCACGGTTCTCAGCTAGCTCGGCTGTTTGTACCTGCGTGCTCTGCGATCTTGGTTAATTAACTACATCGACCATGTCTTCCACTTGCTGCGAAATCCTTGGGTTTTTTGCTCATATTACTACTATTATTCGAGTCAACGAATCGATTCGAGTCTTGAATCGACCTTATCTGATTCCGTGGCGGGCTCTGCCGTGAGCGGCTAGAAGATGGTCGCTTATTTCGAGATTTATGTAAATGCTGCAATAATGGTATAAGTTACAGTCATAGTTTTCGGGAGCACCTTGGTTTTCAACCTTCCAACTCCTTCCAACGGTGTGGTGTGGAATCGCCATCTAGAGGAACTGGTACTCCTCCACACTTACTAACTGATCTACAAGTAGCTGATGCATTTTTTTGTCACTCTAGTCATTTCGTCGAAATGCATCTTCTCCTCGTCCATTCGTTATTCTTTTCCTTTGGCCTCGTTCGGGCAGCTGTCACTGCCTATGGCCCGCATGTCCAGTCACCATTTGGAACTACGACGGCTGCCTCTGCCTCATACACGGGGTCAGCTTCATACGACCGAACGGTATTACAACCTCCACCCCCGCCTAATCCACCCCCACCCACTCAGTTCAACGTGGACCTGCAGACCGGAGATGTCTCGGGAGTTTCAATTCAACAACAAGGCTCATTCTTTGGCTTCAGTATAGAGTTTAGTGTTACGACGCAAGTCCGTAAGTATCTTGTTCACTCGCATGCGTATCCACTAAACATGTCTTGTAGTCGGGCTGAACAGGTAACTAATTCATTTACTACTAAGGACTATAGCATTTACCCCAATTTCCAGTTCTTTCCTCCAAGTCCCGTTTCTCAACCTTATGGCCAACCTACGACAACGCGGGGGCAGCGTTAGGGTTCGTGTCGGTGGTAATACTCAAGAGACCGCTACCCTAGTGGCCAGTACCCCGGACGGTGCAGCTCTCGAGAAGGACTACGCAGGCATCACCAACCCCGTAAGTGCTTTTTTTTACTCGATTATTTTGAGGCTGAACACCCCCAAGACGGCAACGCCGCCCCTCGTCTTCACAAACGAGATCATCAAAATGATGGCCGAGATATCTGCACTCACCAACGTCTATTGGTACATGGGTATGCGACGCGTGATAATACTCTTGTTATTACTGACCTTCTTGCGCAGGTGTGCCGTTCAATGACACTCAGCATTGGCGTTTGCAGATCGCCGAAGTCGGAGAGGCGATGCTTGGAAATTATCTGATTGGTCTACAGGTCAGGAAACCCAACTTATAATACGACAGTCTCTGACTTTTGCTTTAGGGCGGCAATGAACCTGATCTTTACTCAAGGCACGGTCATCGGCCGGATGTAGGGGTTTTTTTTAGCCTGACTCCGTATTCATTGCTAACTTTTTTGCAGTCTTATAGCCCTCAGGATTACACGAATGAATTCGGTCTTCTCATCGACGCCATGAACGCGGACTCTAATATTCCCAACAAAAATTTGCTCATTGGCCCCAACTTGGCTGGCGTGTGGAGCCCAACAGATATCTGGGAAACCGGGTTCGCAACAGACTATAACCAAAACCTCGCTGCGCTGGGTGTTGAAAGGTGAATCACGGATTATTCATTATCATCGCCTTCTGGCTCACAATCGTAAAGGTATCCCACCGATAACTGTTACGCCCAGTTCGGTATAGGAACCCCACGCAGTGGCCAAGAGATGTTCCCGACCTTCCTGACGCACCAAGCCGGAAAGAGCATTGTTGCCGAGTTCCCCGGTGCTCCTGCCTATGCGCAATCCGTTGGAAAGCCCTTCATAATGTCGGAAACCAATACGGCATCTTGCGGAGGTTTTCCCGGGTTAAGCGACAGCTTCGGGGCCGCCCTGTGGGGAATTGACTATGCTCTCCAACTAGCATACAGCAACTTCTCAACTGTGCTTTTCCATGTCGGTGGACAGAGCGTATATTACAATGTACGTTCAACTCGAATCCTGCCGTCATCCACTTCTAACCATTGTCCTCTACAGCCCTTTACACGTTCGTGATAACCGTCCTATCTGGATGGTGATTTTTTAAAACTTTCTTCTTAGCGCCTGTGAGAAACCAGTCGACGTATCAACAGTGGACCATTGGTACGAGCTACCTTGCATAATTTTTCCATTGAATACCAATCAAGCTCCCATCGCAGGTCCGGTCTATTACTCGGCTTTAGTAGTCGCAGAAGCACTGGGTTCCTCCAATATCGCACAAGTCCTGGATCTGCAGGCAAATGATGGAAATGACTACACTCCGGGTTACGCGATTTACGAAAATGGCCAGCCAGTCCGTGTTGCACTGACTAACTTCGTCACGGATCCGGATGGCGATAGTGATTATACCGCGAGTATTTCGATCGGGGGGACAGTGCCTGCTCAAGTACAAGTCAAGTGAGTGATTCCCTAATTGTCATGAATTTATTGTTTCCTAACGCTCACTCAGATACCTCCTGGCTCCATCTGTCTCTGAACTATATAACTTCACGTGGGCTGGACAGGTGTGCACAACATGAATTTTCCGTATTGATCGCCTAGACTGATTATTCCTCAGACCTTCGGCGGCCCATTCTCATCAGACGGACGACTTAATGGCACACTCGACATACAGACTATTCCATGTGACCAGACTAATAACGTATGTCGGGTCAAAGTACCTGCTCCTGGTTTCGCCCTTGTATTCCTCACCAATAATGCGCTGTCCGAGTCCGACCAGACTTCAACGATGACCTTCCCAACCACCGCATATACGAATCTCCATGGCGGACCAACCATCACTATTGACCCCTCCGTTCTGGCTACCTCGAACGGTGAGAAAGGATTCGCCAACGCCCTAGCGGGCACGAGCAAAGGTCGCCAGATGAGCAACGCTCTGGGATTCGCGCAAGCGCTGCCTAGCCTGGTCGGTGTCATGGCTGGTGCTCTTATGATCGGGCGTCTGGCCCTCATGCGATGAACATTTTCGAATCTTTCATTCGGGGTTCAGTGGGTCAGGGACTTTATTCGTCCGTTTACCTGCACTTGCATCGGAACTGATTCACATGGACATATATCCCAGAAATGATCATTGTCACTGCTGTGTCTATATGACATCCTTGTAGTATTTTGGGGGCTACTTGGATCTTTGACCTGCGTACATATACTCCTTGCACTAATCCTACCTTTGGACCACTTGGATCTTGGGCCTGCATCTATCCCACACGCTAATCATACTCACCATCTTTTTGTCCATCACTCGTGTACTACTGCATCTACTAATATCACAACTGAACTGACTTTCAAGGCAATTTGGATCACAAAGTTCAATGAAGTCCCGAAAATTTGTCGCTCACTGGAGGCTCAAGTGGGTTGAGGCCACTGCGATCTTTCTGTAGTCGGAGGTAACTTTTCATGTTCATGTTTTCTGGCGAGCCATGCATCGGGTTAAACGTGCGTTGATCGCCTTTTCACGGGCCTCTTGATCAATAAGCAGAGAGCATCACCCTCGTCTTGCAATATTCAGCTCGTTCACGACCAGGTATGCAAGTTGAAAACTGCAATGCATCATTGACCTTGAAAGCGGAGGGATCTTTCGTGTTACCCGGAGCGAGCCCCGGCCAGGGTCAAAGTTTGCATGGCGATCGAATACTATGGGTTACGGTTTATTCGTTACGGTCCACTATTTCGTGATTTTTGTCTACAGCACTCAATCGTGAAGTAATTGCTTAGCTACTTCACTGGGTATGTTCTATATACTATACTATCATATCCCAAGTGAAATAAAACAAATATGTTGAGAAATGGTAGAGATCGTGTTTTCAGCGTGACAGCAGCAAAAATCACGATTCAGTGTCACCTGCCGTAGCTGCCGATGTCGGACATTAAATTTAATAGTGCGTTTCATGTGCGCTCAACCTCCACATCTGGCACAAAGTCACGAACTTCAAGTTCACAATCCATCTATGTATCAATACCCACTGGCACATCTTCATACATTCCCTCAGCAAAATTTTACACATCGTTAATAACTTGCATTTAGCTCTCCGTACATACTGTAGCTCACATATTTACTACTAAGTAGCCTCCGAGTCCTAATCAATTATCGTTGAAATTCACGAATCGCATGTGCCGAGCGGACTGTAAATTCGGCCAGTGTGATTGTCCGTTACTATTCGTGACATGAGGGTGACTCACGAAATAGCGGACCGTAACGAATAAACCGTAACCCATAGTAGACTCTTCAAAGGTAGACAGGAAGGTCCATTCTGATATGCTTTTTCCGTAATAGTAACGTACGCTGTAACCGGTAAGTCCGGTCATGATATGATGAAATGATAGACGGTCTCGGCATCATCGGCGTGGCGGTCCTCGGTGCGCAGTCAGTTTGAATTCATTTCAAATTTTCAGCTTGACTCCTCTCAATTCATCCTTCCTCTCCGCTTTCCTTTGGTTTGTCTGCTTCCCTCGTTCCTCCTGGCAAGTAACGAGCAAGCCAGACGAATGCTTAGTCGATTAGTGCTTGGCTAGCACTTTATTTTCCTCACCGGCATGACTCGAGTCTATCAAATGCAAGGCATCTCATGTTACATATCTCTACTCCAAATTATCAACCTCTGATACAACATGTTGGGCACATAGTCCGTCGACTTACCGACACCGAGGTTGCAGCAGAGCGAGCAAAGTTCGTTGTCGAAAGGCAAATGCCAGGTAGCACATCGCGAAGCTGCAAATGATCGTTCACAGCGCCTCAGAAATGCCTTACAAGCAATCAGGCTTCAGTGCTTTAGCTGAATCTATGTTAGAGTTGATGAACACGAACGATCAACAACACTCTGCTTATGTGCCACGAGACAATTTCAAGTTCTCGAGGCCTTAGGGCCCAGCTCTATTACAACACCACGTATGACGACTAACTCCCGCGGACAGGAATGCAATTAAACTGTTTCGAGTCAATTCTGCCAATACCGTCATGGATCCGAAATGTGACTCTATGCCTTCTTCTATGGAGTATAAAAGCGTCAGCAATTATGTTGCCAACGACCTCTATACAAGTAAGATTGATTGACTATCATGATTACCCGCCTCTAGCGTTTCCATTGTTCTCCTCAGCCTGATGGCCCTCGTCGACGCTGGAGTGCCAGTAGTAAGGCTCGCCTCACCTTAAACCTTGCCGTATTGTTATACGATGTCCACAGGCCGCTCGCGAAGCTATTGGCTGGTGCTAGGTGCTACAAATTTTCGCAGACCGAGTCAGTGATACGATCAGTCGAATTATTTCAAGGACGGTTGGCTTCGTTTACATGTGTGCAGGATGTCGATGAGGAATGTGCACGACATGATGATAAGGTAGACTTAAGGCAGAGTGCGAATGCGGTTTTCCAATGGCAGCTGCACGCTGGCAGGCATGCAGGAGGCGCTGATCGATCAGCAATATTGAACGCATTGCAAGTACCTGGTACTGGCAGTGCTATCATAATGGCAGTATAGCCTGACTTCCCGACGCTATGCGCAACACTGGGATATGACACGACTACAACGTTGCTACTCTGCGATCCTCCGTGGGCCTTCGCGACTATAGTGACATTTGCTCTTACACGGTCTGTCAACCATTTTTATCGGAAATCGCATCTCATGGGGATCAGGTACTCTGACAAGAAGCAGAGGCGTTACAAATACTCTGCTGCCTCCAATGCACTCGGCACCCTCAGTTGCATTCATCACATCGATCTTTACGATGAACAAAGGGGGGCCGGCCGCCAAAGCTGCGAGCTATGTTTCGTTGTAATTAAGCCCCTACTCATGAAGCGTTACTTGTTGTACTCAGAGACACACAGGTTCCTGATGCCTCCGCTCATCGCTGGATATCTGTTGCTCTGGGGGTGGGTCGACAACACTTTCGCCAGAGAACCTGCGAAGCGAGCCGTCGCTATTGCTTTGATTAACACAATAGGGCAGATAGGCAATATTGTTGGACCGTGCGTAACATTGTCACCGATTTCTCGCTCTTGGTGATTATCCACAACTGCGCTTCTCTAATAAGTATGCATGGCCGTCGAAATGGGGCGGCCCAACATATCGTTATTCCTATGCCATCAGCATTGCAGCAATTGGGATTTCCACAACCATGCTCGGTGGGATGCATCTTTATTTGAAGCATCTGAATGAGCAGATTGATAGGAATGAGAATGTGAAGGGTATTAAAGAGCTCCAGGGCCCAGTCGATTTTGGATATTTGGTATAATTGAGGACACATCGTTTCCGAACGTGCGTTTTTTGCTCCTTGTCTGCTGACGCGCGAGGGGGCCTGACTTGAGCATTATTTTTGAAATGTGAAAGTGATTGGATCTAGTACTAGAAGCTGAAGAGCGGATATGGTCATGCGCATGGTGTGCGTTCTAGTGGGTTTCACTTCCCTGGCCCTGGACGGATCATTTGTCTGGGAACATAAAAGGGGCGGAACAGTTCCTATGAACGTACTACAGTAAGGGTCGGTAACCACGCACCTCATCGGCTGCAGCCTGAGGGGTGAACAAAATTTCGCGATTACCCGACGATCAATAGCAAGTCGCCGTGACAAATGTGGCAGGGATGATATAGAACACGAAGTCGCGGAGAACGTCGATCGACTGTGCATGTTGATCTCTCGTGGATCTTCTGAACGCACCATCCAATACGCGGGAAGTTCTAGTATGCATATCCGCTTGGAGGGGCTTGCCACCAGTGGCGGCGTCCGACCTTGGGCAAATCCTGTCCTTCCATGTATAGTTAATGTTAATCAATATTAATCTTGGCCGTCGGTGGTGGGCTGGCAGGCGCAGTGCTGGCGTCTCCTTAAGGATTTGCCCTGGGGGAGACCCCTTGCTAAACCTACCGTGGCCTGCCCACGAATATGAGTGTCTCAAGGGAAAAGATCCCCAAGGTGGCATCATAAGGATATATTCGTAAAGCGATAAGAGCTGTACCGAAGGAAATCCCACAAGTCGCATGTGTAGGGTCCGAGAATGGGAAGCAGAGCAAGTCAAACAAACCCTAAGTCTAGTACTGTAGTGTGATTGGATTCATAACGTGTGCCCATCTATTGGCGCATACTGAAACTAAGCCAATGGCAAAAGACGATCCCGTTGCAAGTCTACTAGCTAATATATCGTACTAGCAGTGTCATCCAAACCTTGATCTACACCAGACCCGGAAGTCATCATACATCTTCAATGCACGCAGAACACATTCTACCCGGGCCGTCAGCGGGTTTTTGTAGACTCGTAACCAGTTTTTACTACATCTAGGGTTTTGCGGCATCCCTAAAAAACGAATTGAGATAGGTCGAAACAAGGGTGTTATTCACTTACGGTTCGTGCACACAATTGAAAACGTGGAGCGTAAGGATTCCATTGAGAACGAAGGCCGAACAACCTATGGCTGTTATGACTTGAACGAGCACATTTCCAGAGCAGAAGCAAGCGATAAAGAGAGCTGCACCAAAGAAAATCTCATGCATCATCAACAGGAACACTTCTGCTAACTCACTTACACACAAACAAACAGCAAGTGGCGACTGCCAGACAAATCGAGGGGTACCCCAACCACAACAGCAGGCAGATAATTTGGCATCGTGACATGTCCTGCAGCAAGCGTCAGACCATGCAACACCCTATGTAAATAAACAGAGCTCACTCTGAGGTGTTCCATGTCTTTATGAACAGTGCTAGTTTCATAGATGACCACGACCGCAGCTCCCGATATTACACTGAGAAATGCAGCACTAAATGAAATCATGGCGAAGACATAGGAAGCTGCAGTGTCAAAAACCATCAAGCTAGTTACAGGAGAATTTGTTGTGAGGAGCAAAGCAGTAGTTGCGAGTACCAGCCCAGCCTAAATTCCAATTGTTTAATGTTAGTGATAACGACCAGATCGCATCAAACACACAGTGACGTTTGAGTTCTGGAAACGATTAACCATCACTGAGACATGCTCCTTCCATTCTTCGTTATGCGTGTCTCTCCAGTGTTCGAGGGACATCCGAGAGACTGCAACAACGCACATGATTCTGAACGCTGAATTCAGAATGGGATGAGTGGGAAGCGGGAAGTTTCTCAGGACTTGAGAGGTTGAGCTGCTATTAGAAGAAGTATCATTAAACATCGTTTCATCGATGGTAGAGCTCATAACGTGAGTGTTCAAGTTGTGAGGTTGAGATGTTATTGAATGGACGTACAGGATGACCCTTCAATTATACTTACACATGTTCGTGGTTCCACATTCGATAGCAATGCTTGCAATAATGCATCGGGAAACCGATCTGCAGGATCAGTGACCATGCTGAGTGCATGACAATGCACATGAGCGCTGAGCGCTGAGCTTCCACCAATGAGAACCTCGCTTGAGCGCTAAGTCTGCAATATCACCGCTTTCGCACTTTCCTCTAGTTCCCACGGTCCCCTATCGGGTTTTGCCGATCCAGTCACTATAGTACGCGGTACCGGTGACTTTGCAAGCAAGGTGGTAAGCGCTCAGGAAGACTGGCCCCGTAGGTTTGCGCGCAACTCCTAAGAGCCAGTTCGTCTACCAGATGTTGACGAACATTTGGCAAAACAACCTGCGCAGATTGTCGGCTTGGGCCGTCCCGAGAGTCGGAGTCCGAAATTTGAACCTTGCTTCACCTTGCACCTGTACATCATCATGAATTTGTATTCCTTTGACAATCAACGTCGTACACAGATCTGTGCTTGGGTGGTCACTATTACTGCCATCTGTGCCCATTATACCAGTGTTCTCATGGCCCAACCAGTTCAGTTTGCCGACAAGGCCCATTGGAATGACCTCGAGATTCACGCACTACTTGACTACCTCGTCCTTAATCGTGCACAGGGTGGCGACGGAGGAAACTTTCCACAGGAAACTTACAACAAAGCGGCAGTTCTCCTGAATGCCGATGAAACACTCGAATCAGTGGGGGCACTGAAGACTGGGAAGAAGGTCAAGACTAAGTGGACCTCGGTAATATGTTATCTTGATCTTAATCTATCATGAACTGATGTTTGTTTTTAGCTCAAAAAATCATTCAGTGGCATTGAGACATACTGCAACCAATCAGGTTGTCACTGGGACAAGGACACAGGAGCATCGATTGAAGGTACAGATGCGGGAGTTGTGTGGAAGGCCTATGTTGAGCCACAGGTACACTATCATGCTCGTATGTGTCTTGTATACAGACTGATGATATTAGTCTCATTCGTCAATGCGTCCCTTCCGGAACAAGGGCTGGGTATTCTATGACAAGATGCTGGAGATCTTGGGGACGAACAGCAGTGCTCGTGGAAGTTATGCCTTCCACCCTACCTCCGCGGGTCCACCCCCCACCTCATCAGCCAATGCACCCGAGGCCGAAGAACTTGAGGACGAAGATCTTGAGGCCGAAGGGCCTATTATTCCGACAGCTGCCAGCATGGATCCTATGGGGAACATCAGCACCACCCCGCAAATCACCCCGCAAGTAGTCCGTGTACCTCCTCTTACCGGTGTTACTACAACCTCTCAGTCCTCTGGCAACAAGCGCCTGCGCACCGACACTCTTCTACTCGATTCCGCTGAAGTGACATCTTACACCTCCACGGGTGCTCCACCAACTACTTTCTATGATGACAGCCCCCTGCTGTCATCCCTCCCGCCACCGCCGTCATCCCTCCCGCCACCGCCGGCATCCCTCCCGCTTTCTGCGACTCTGGTGTCGTCTGCGCAGCCAGCCATAAAGAAGGCCCGTGTGACCAAGCAGACTGCTCAGGAACTCATGAGCAGTGCCGCCAGGGCAGCAAAGATCACCCCTGCAGTCGCTGTCGTGGGTATGCAGGGTGCAATCAACCGCTTGACTGACGTTCTGGAGAAGTCATTGACGGCTTCCCCATCTACACCTTCTGCGCCGTCGCTTACCTTGAACTCCAGCACGAACAGCATGACCCGCGCCTTGGAGATTATGCGTATCCAAGATGGACATCTGTCGGTCATGGAGAGAGCAAAGTTGATGCAGATCTTCAGCCGTCAGGGAAATGAGAATTCTCTTGCCGCTTACATTTCGCTCGACGGGGACTTTGAGACACGTTCGTTATATATCACTTTGCTCATGGCGGAGGTATAGGTATCATGTACCACTCGTGTTGTGTTGTAACTTGCCTCATACTCATACTAACATGTAGTTACTATATCATGTACTGTTCTCATACCACTCCTGCTCTCATATCAATGTAATCGTTTTCGTGCAAGTGCCAGTTACATGTGCTCAATGTCACCTATTCTAAGACTAGAACCGCCCCAGCCCATCCTCATCCTCTGATAAAGCCTGGTCTGATAGATCACTGTCTGAATCACCTTCGAGAACACTTCTTTCTCGCAAAACCCGCTGATAATCTAACCACATCTGTTCTGCGATGCGATCACGAGATGTGTGAACATCTGCATCAGCGAGTTGATGGTCATCTGCTACTGCCGGTTGCTCCCAGTTTCCGGTGTGCAAATCACCAGCGTCGTTGTCTGCATCAACAGGGATGGCGCCCTCGGTAGGGTCATGGAAACGGATAAAGTTGTGTATGCTGCACAAAGCAGTGGGGATCTGTGCCTGAACCACCATTGAATACGACGGCGATAGAAGGAGAATGCAGAAGCGCCTTTTCAAGACACCAAAGATTTGTTCGATGACATTGCGTGCTGACGCATGACGCAAGTTGAATAGTTCCTTTTTGTTAGCTGGTCTGTAGGCAAAAATTAGTACACTCTGGTGGCTGAAAAAATAAATGTTTGTAAACTCACCTTACGCTCGCGTGGCCCCATTCCGCAAGGTGGTAGCGGACACCACGATATGGTACGAGTAACTCCGGCCGTAGAGGAAAGCCAGCATCTGCAAGAAAATATTTTCCTGCAGGTAAGTGAAGGTCATGAGCACGGGCATCCTCATAGATGCGGGCATCCATGGCCGACCCTTCCCAGCCAGTAAGTGCATATGTAAAGTTCATCTCGAAGTCACAAGCAAAAAGACAGTTTTGAGATACAAACCCCTTGCGATTACGATAAGGCCCGCGTTCAAACGCACGAGGCGATGCGTGAATATGGCTTCCGTCAATAGCCCCAACAGTATCCTTGAAAAACGGCCAGAACTTGGGGTTCTGGCGAATTTTGCGTGGGATAGATGCATCCGGCAAGTGAACATATTTTGAATAGAAGGGGGGGGACGAAAATATATTGAGCATCCTACGAAAATAACTATGTACAATGAGATATAGTGCACAATTAAAAATATCACCCTCACCAAGATATAGTCTCGTTGGAGCGTTGAAATCTTTCACCAGTGTGTCTGATGGGCAAGCCCGTGACTACCGTGTAGAGGAAAATTGCTAGCTGTTCCTCTAGCGAGACGAACTTGGAGTCCGTGTGCCCAAGGGTACGCATCTCCGATATGAGCTCCCCGAAGACATGCGCATGCACGCCAAGCTCGCATCGTATTCGCGCGGGGTGACCAGTTAATAGTTCTATGACCCACTCTTCTCCCGATAGAGCAGACGTGTGGTATGGCTCAGGATCTTTTGGATAGATTGAATGTAATATACTAGTGGTAGCGCTAATCAAGATGCTGATCAAAAGGATCGTGGATCGTATGAGACGTTGCTGGACTTCAGGACGATGGGGCATGAATAGCGGGACATCCAATCGAAGATCCATGGGAGCAGGGACGGCTGGTAGAGCATCCATTGTCAAGGGCATACATTGTACCTACGATGCGGCTAGATAGCATATTCAAGTTCCGAATCTCCGTCGGCCCAAGCCGACAATCTGCGCAGGTTGTTTTGCCAAATGTTCGTCAACATCTGGTAGACGAACTGGCTCTAAAGGCCTAAACGTTACGTAAACTATCATCAGAATTTCATTCACGAGTCAACCAGGCCCGTCTCCCCGTGGCAGTCATGCGGCAACATTCCGCGGCGGCCCATTCTCGCGACCTTTCTGAACACCAGTTTTGCACGCTGTGATCTAGTGTTCTGGTCTAGGTCGTTTGCTTCTGGTCTGCGTGAATGGTACATTGTGCATAAACGTTATAAGTGCCCTCTTCTGGATGCCAGCTTTCAAAGCAGCTCGAGTCATTCCCGCCATGACGACGTCCATTCCTGTAAACTCCTCCCCTCAAGTCCTTGAAAACGGCTATCGAACTCCCAACAATCCTATCCTGAGGCTGGCGTTCAAAATCTTGTGTGTTATTGCGGTCTCTCGGGAGTCTCTCGACCATTGGAAAAATACAGGGAGCAAAGAATGGAAGGACCATGTCTCAATAATGGTCAATCGATTTGAGAACACAAATATCACTGTATGTTTGATATGATCCGATTTTTATGGCTAGCGTTCAATAACTGGACTTCAGGCTGGGCTCGTACTCGCAACTACTACTCTATTCCTGTCGTCTGTGCCTCCTATCAAACATTTGATGGCTTATAACTCCTCAATCTCGTACATCTTCGCCATGGTTTCATTTGGTGCTGCATTGCTCAGCGTGATATCCGGATCTGCTGTGCTTGTTATCTATGAAACTAGCACCGCTCACAAAGACATGGACTCCCTCAAAGTAAGTCTGTTTGTCTGGGTTGGCTCACAATCTGACACACGGCACAGCGCATGCAACGACACCAAGTCATCGCGCTACCACTATGGTTGGCATACCCCTCAGTCTGTCTGTCAATCGCTACTTGCTTTTTGTTTGTGTATGAGTAAGGCACTAGATGTTATTTAGATCTGCTGACGAGTATGGCGTTTGCTTTGGTGCAGCTATCTTTATCGCCTGCTTCTGGTCTGACAATAGTGTTGTAAACGTCATAACCATCTTGGCTTGTTTGGCCTTCCTTTCAAACGGAGGCCTTACTCTCTACGTTTTCAGCGTTGTAGGCGAAAAGTAACCTGGTAGCACTCTTGTTGGATTCGCCAGTCTAATATACCTTACAGGCGGGTCGAAGATCAAAAAAACCTTGTCGACACAAGCATCATGCTAGTATAGGTGCTGCATGTCTTCGGCTCTGACAGGGATGACTGGGCGTGATAATTGTTATAGACCACTCAGGGTTTGGATGCTTCGGGTTGTAGTACGTATCGGTCCGTGGAGTGGCAGCATCGCTTTCTTACCATGTCTCCTTAGCCTAGTATCCGAGTCCATCTATGTATAGATATGCCACACCACCTCCTGATCGCCCATGCGAACTGTCCACACAGCAAAGTACGTTGGCCCTAGACCTCCGACACCCCATCATCACCACACACCTCCACCTACAGGTTGCGCTCTTCCTCCCGCTTCAACATGTATTCTGGGAGTGACGACCGTGAGGTCACGAATTTTATTATGCTGCCGGTTTTGTTATGGGTATTGCAGGTTGTGTGGGGGTTGTGGATGTATGTTGGGCGGGGATGCGGATTACTGTGAGGGATCGATCGGTCATTCTACTTTAGAGTTACGACGTCACATCGTAAGTCAGAATGTAAAGAAGTAGAAATGAGAACAATCAAGTCATGATGCATGATGCATGAATTTTCACAAAAGCTTGATTAGATGAGACGGAAAATGCCAAAGCCATTTTCTACATTGGGGGAATAGCCTTGTAGTTCAAACATCAGTGAAATCGGTCGAGATAGCTCTATATCTCATGCCCAATGGTGGGATTTACAGGACGTTGACCGGTCTCCACAGCTTCAACGTCGTCTTGGGTGATGGTGATCTTGTAGGATGTGGGCGCAATCGTAGAATGGCTGCCAACGTAATGGGAATAGCCTTTACGCTGCTGCGACTCATCTGCAGGCGTTTGCCATTGTATTTTCGGAAATGCAGCGAGTGAGCCTTGAGTCTTGACTCGGGATCAACCTATCCAAGTACCCTCGTATAAGTTATATGACTGTGCCCATGTCGTGATTGATTATACAATTATGGGCCTGAACGTACGATGTGTGCCTCCCATAGAAGAGATGGTTCTGCGCATCTCAGAGTAAAGAGAGCGATTTTATCAAGCAAGCGAAAAAGATAGTCAACAAACATATATGTGCTGCTGACATACGGGCGGAATCATCATCGCGACTCTCAAGATTGTCGTTCTATTCCGTTTGTGGGACATTCTTGATTGGCACCTGATGAAGATATATAGCTGGGGCAGACTAGGATCTCCAAACCAAACGGGAGCGTCCTGTGAGGTTACATGTGCGATGTTGAAGCAGCGAAGGTTATCGTCGATTCTGGCTATCCGGGCTGCTGCACATATCGCAGAGTCATTTGTTTTCCGAGGTTCGGATATGAATCAACGATAGGTGAAACTTTGCCGGGATGAGTATGCCACCTTATCTAATCTCCGATTTTATTTTCTGATTTACTCCTGCATCCCAATTTCCAATTGTACAGCCACATATATATCAGCAGGCTTATTTGCCAGCGTTGAGGACACTCAGCACTCAATATTTCAACTTCGAGCGAGTTGCTTTACCGGAACTCGACTCATCTCCGTCAAATCTGTTTATAACGTTTAACCCTCTATCTTGAATTATTTGTTGCTTATTACCCATGTCTACGGAACCTGTAACAGCCTCTGCTGAAGAAAAACGGCCTGCTGAAGAGGCTGCGGCGATACACGAAGGAGATGAAGATGAGAAGCTGCAGGACGCTCGCAAGCAGAGTACGCGTTTTTTTTGCTATCATCTTTCTGCAGATGGATGACCGTCGATATCATAGTCGAGTTCTATTTTGCAGACTCGAACCTGCCATTCGATAAGTGCGCATGATCATCATGCACCGCGTGCATGGCTGATATGATCCAGGTTCATGTGGAGTCTCCACACCGCAAATGCCGAACACTGGGTACCCATCAAAACCGTCTCTTCGTTCAAGCGCATGCGAGAGTATGCGTCGAAGGGCCATGATTGGATAGTGAAGGCCTTACGGACAAGCGAGGAACTGGAAGTGGATGAAGCTGGGGAAAATGCGAGGCGTCGCACTGAGGTCCAACCACCCAAGGGTCAGTTTGAGAGAAGTGTCTACGCGGTAAGCTAGATCATCAAGGCATCAACAAATTTGCTCATGCATGCGCTGTAGAAAGGGTTTGGCGATGAGACTTCCGATCTCCAAAAGAAGCTGGAAAAGTTTTTCGACCAGTATGGAGAAACGAATGCTGTCAGGATGCGTCGTATAGACGGGAACAAGCAGTTCAAGGTATGTTTCATAGACTCAATCAAGACAAAACATACGCGCTCATATTTTCGCAGGGATCAGTCTTCGTCGAATTTGCAGAAATGAAATCCGCGGAAGCATTCCTAAATGCTGATCCTAAACCATCTTGGGACGGCAAGGAGCTGCTGATTATGTCCAAGTACGCTGTTTCTCTTTCTGAGTTTTTCTCTCTAATGGACTCTAGGGAGGCCTACTGCGATATGAAAATCAAAGAAAAGGGTCTTACTGGCAAGACCGCCGATATGCGCAAGGACAACATCGCAAGCCGGAAGGGGTTCAATGCGTTCCAGGAGATGCAGAACGAGAAGAAGGGGAAGGGTCAGAGGGGTAAAGACAAACCCAACCCCGAAGTCTGGCTCGAGTTCATGGGGTCTAAAATTCGTGTGCAGGAGGAAGATGGAGGCAGCGTGAAGAGTGAAGATGTGCCATATATCAAGGGCGCGACGATGAAGTTCACGGGCTGTGGCGGTGATGCTAACTTTACGGAGATGAAGGTAATTTGGTGGCTTTCACTTCGTCTGTCGAGGTTCTGACTTTTGGATCGATAGACTCCTTTGAGAGAACGCTTCGCCCGGGTACCATACATCCAATTCTCAAAGGGAGATGACTTTGGTCTCGTCGGATTCGACAAACCCTTGACGGAAGATGAGATCGACTACGTAAAGACCAACCTGAAGACAGTGAACTCTAACGAAGTCCAGTGGTCTATACCAGAAGGTACTGTCACCCTCTCCGTATTGCATACGATCTGAGCCTTACTCCTGTTAACGTGTCGCAGGGGAAGAAGAGAAACGATTCCAAATCGATCGTGCTAACTTTGCTGCGCGGTCAGTTCTCTCGCGTTCTCAGGAAAAAGGCGGTTCGTCACGAGGCGGACGTGGAGGCGGACGCGGGGGCCGGGGTAGAGGAGGCCGTGGTGGCAGGGGCGGTGGTCGTGGTGGAGGTCGTGGTGGAGGTCGCAGTGGCGAGAAAAGCCAACCCGCTGCAGTGTCTGAGGAACAAAGCGGAGAAAAGCGCAAACGGGCCATTGAGCCTGACGGCGGTCCTGATACTGGTATTCGTGGTCAGGCTGTCCCCACGATTGCGCCATCAAAAAAAGCAAAAACAGATGCTGCATGATATCTGTACCGATAAGCTATGTGTATCATGTGTGCAGTTTGTACTTTGGGGCATTGCATTTCGTCTTGAAAGACAACGTCTATTATGACTTTCATGTATACTCATATTCAGTACTCGGTATTCTGGAATCTGTTGTATTACAGGCAAGACAACGATACGGACTCATCAGAGGAATCAGAACACAAATCATTGATACCAACCACAGCAGGAATATCAGCAAAGAATCCGATCGGATGCGACATGCATGCAATGATTGATCAAGAAAAATCGAACAACCAGGACACCTAAACAAGAATTTGGTCGATGAGATATAGTGCACTATAAATTTAGGCTCGCGACCAACCTGCGCCAGCATACTCATATAAATGCACCAAAGGGCTGTTCACGGCGAACCATCAAACGCAATACTTGCGAGCGATAACTGAACTATACCGGCTCGTTTCGTGCATCAGCATGGACCTATGGTATCTCTACGCTTCCGACGTCCGTGTGTCAGCGAAAGTCATGTCTTTGACTCGTGCAATGATCTCATAGTCCAACGCGATCGTCTTGTATTCTCAGATGCGCTGCTGCGCTAGCAAAAATGGATCGATCGAAAGGCTGTCCAAGGCGGGCGATGCTCGTGAGTGAGGCTCCTCTTCTAGTACCTGAGGCAAGCCGCGGGATAACTTGTCAGAGTCGTCCATCAGGGATCCGGGCGATATAGGTGTTGGTGTGCATCGTTATATTCCACAGCACGAGTATATGGATGAGTGGTTGTCAGTTGATACGCTCGAGCACGGCGAACGTCGACAGTCCTAGTGAATTTTCATCATGATGAGCGTTGACAAAAGACAAATAACACAGAACATAAACTTGATGTTGGCATACCACGTTGGGGCGAGTCTCAAGGGGTACTCTGATAGAACATTACTGGTGAGCATCGAGTTTTGAAAACAAATGCTCTCTCACCTTTACGGTCTTCAGGCGGTTGCACGGCACAGGTTTGTGCACTACATAGGGTCCTAGGGATCGAAGTCCTTGATAGGATAGTAAATGGCCCCCGTCGAATGAGGTCGATTATCGAGTATATCCATCCTATGAACTAAGAATAAAATGGTGTATATGCGTAGAAAAAGACCATACCATACCAGTTGCTGTTCAGTTTCGTCCCTCCCTTGGCCGATCATGGACAATACTAAACTCTCCAACTTCTCGCACAACATTCGTCTCCTCTATGTCCGGAAGACTGTTGACAATAGCACTGTGATCATCGTTCGTTAAGCATCGTTGTTGTCGTTGTCAGTGTGGATGGTGAGAAAGCTGGACTTACAGTAAAATGCGGTGATTTTCAGTGTTTGCATGATAGATCACGACGTGTTCCTGCAAATACCACAGGATTCCTGTATATGCGAAAATTCTGAAAAGGGAACTCAAGTTGTTGATTTAATACTACACGAGGTATTGCTGTGTCGGAGTATCTTTGGAAAGTTCATAGGAAGGACTTATTTGGGAAGCTGATGCACTAGAACTGCAGTATGTTTGCGGTATGAGTACACTATTTTGGGAAGTGCTGTGTTACTAAGCTGTGCGTGCACTCAGCATAATAGGTGACCAGGTCGCACTGCAAGTTGCTCAGCACCCTGTACTTTACTTTTCTTCAGTCAAGCAGACATATAACGCTATCTACGTCGCAGAGAGCGTCTTCTCACTAGTAATATTGATCTGCACGCCCAGCAGATATGAATGACAGGCAAGCCCATTATCCGTTTGTTCCAGCCGCATCGTTCTGAAGATTTCCCCACTCGAAGTGCTCTCAAGTGTAGTCCTTCTTGCGACATGGAAAAGCAGCAGTTCACAGACTTGGAAAAGGTCGAGGGACTGATTCCAGAATCGGAAGAGGAAGAGATATTAAATTCCAACGAAGCTGCTCTCGAGATACTTATCGTCGGTCTCAACTGGACACTGTACTCAGTGAGTTCACATCGTCAGCAGTATTGTTGCATCCTCTGATGATGCATGGTTCTATTCGTCAACTCCAGGCTTTGATAACCGGGTCAGTTTGGTTCAACGCGTCACCACTAGATTCCCCTGTCAACGATGGTGTTCCTACGCACGATTCCCAACCGCCTTCACTACGTTATAAGCTCTCGTGCGGACTCTTCTTTGTCGGCAGCTCACTGAGTTTCTGCGTCGCGTTCCTCATCATCTTGGGCAAGATCCTGATGCGCCAACACACACTCACTCTGAAGCACCCGCCTTTTGGCCCTCGCAGCCTCCCCAAGTACAAGGTTCAACGTCTACGCGAGATACCGGCATCTATGCCTGCATGGTTCATGAAACTTCTGAAGTCACTGCAGTTTATCTTTCCATTCATCCAGTTTACGATTGCCATGACGCTACTCGCGCTCGGTGGTATCCACCCTTCCAAAGCTTAAGGGCCCTTGCCAATATTTCTTTGACTCTCTTGACCCAAGAACAAATTTTCATATTCTCTGTAATGTTTACGTTTACCGACGTTATCCTTCACCCCGAGGCTCTTTTTATTGTTAAATGAAGCGTGTTGGGTCTTCAGCGCTTGGGCGATCGTCTTTCCCGAGGCCACTTCAATTTCTTTTCACTGTATTCATCATATACGCTCTTATTTTATTTACATTCATTGTATTATCAGACGATATACAAATCATCTTGATAGAAACGAGTCAAACTCGGGACTTTGTTTAAAAGGGAAGTGACATACAACACCATCGTAAATAAAGTTTAGCAGGGTAGCTTCTTCGCGTGTTCCCACTAAAGCTTACGTTCTTACCATGTTTTAATACATTCAGGTTTGCGCCAACGACTCGTAGTCTTACTGATTGCCTCGATCGGTGGCTAGTACTCAGGCGCTTAGCATAAGCCTAGACGGTCTTCGCGTTGCCCACTCTTACGGATCCTTCTGACCCAACACAGATATTCCGTCACTTCCGGATGATCAAAATCACATCGACATCTGACTCCTCGTGTATACCTCATGTGGCATGGAATTGCTATACCCATTGCCCACTGAATCTAGATCATTTTCAACTCGGGCAGAATCTACCGAGTTCGCACACTGCAATGATTATAAGGCTACACGAACGCTTCCGAGTCTCTATTACATTTACCTTCCCCCATGGATCCTTCACAGATAAGAAACAGAATCGGTCGCTTTCGAATCCTCGTGATAGGAAGAGCCAATGCAGGAAAAACCACCCTCCTACAGAGAGTCTGTAACACACGAGAGAATCCAGAAATATATAACAGCGCCGGTAAAAAGGTAGGCATCACGGTGCTAGTAGGAGGATGGCAGTGATGGCTGAGCGATGAACTTCAGATTGATGCCACAGTCTTGATGGCTTCCACAGAGGTGCCGTGTACTTTCAATGAATGGTAACCTGAACTGACACGATCTCAGCGCGGATTGCACAACATCGAGAATGAAATGGTGTTTAAAAGCAATCCAGGTTTCATCTTTCACGATTCTCGCGGGTTCGAAGCAGGCGGTGAATCAGAATTTGACCAGGTGAAGGCTTTCATCGCAGACCGTTCTAAGGAAGCCAGATTAAGAGATCAACTCCACGCTATCTGGTAATTGTAGCTGATCAGTCGCGACGCGGCCTCACGGTATTAACATAGGTATTGTATCCCCATGGACGAGGCAAGTAGGTCGTTCACCTCAAGCGAAATCAAATTTTTCTCTCAATGCGATACTGGAAGCAGTAAGGTTTCACATCCGACTGTTGTTGATATTCGACTGATGCGCAGAATCACAATCCTCAGTTCCAGTAATAGTACTGTTCACAAAATTTGATGCACTCTACGACGAATCATATGCCGAGCTGAAATCGCAGGGAGCATCAATGGAGGAGGCTGAAGAACGGGCGCCAAAGCACGCAGAAGAATCATTTGCGATTGGCTCACAACTGAAGTTTCTATACCACTCCAAGGAGATTCGACGCCCTCCGAAATGCCACATATGCCTCCCTAGTAAGCTGTTGATCGTCGCCTTATGAGTCTGATACATTTTGACGCTGATTTATTAGACATAGACAGAGACGATGCAGATTGCGGGCCACTCATCGAATAAACGGCGGGAGCACTGGATAATGAAGCGCTTCAGCAATTATTCGTCTCGACTCAGCAGACCAACTTGGAGATCTGCATGAAATATGCAGTTGAGAAGTAACTACCCATGATCTCATTACCTGCCTCAAGCGTTAGCGACTGATATCGCCCAGATCACTCATGAAACGTCTGGACTTTGCTGAGATAACGACATCCGAGGATCATGAGCAGATGGTAGGGGCATCAGGTGACTGGTTTCCACATATTTTGGTAAGATTATCGGAAAGTTTGAAGGTCGCTCTAATTTATGTTTCTTATAGGTAGTACGTGTGTCGATCTTCGTTCGAGCAAGATTCATGCTGATCCAAGTCGTTGCCCACCCATCGCAGTGGGTGAGTGTGTCGATCCTCGTTCGAGCAAGAGCCATGCTGATCCAAGTCGTTGCCCACCCATCGCAGTGGGTGAGTGTGTCGATCCTCGTTCAAGCAAGAGCTATACTGATCCAAGTCGTTGCCCACCGTTCGCAGAATGTGAGTGTGTCGATCCTAGTTCGAGCAAGAGCCATGCTGATCCAAGCCGTTGCCCACTGTTCGCAGAATGTGAGTGTGTCGATCCTTGTTCGAACAAGAGTCATGCTGATCCAAGTCGTTGCCCACCGTTCGCAGGGAGTGAGTGTGTCGATCCTCGTTCAAGCAAGAACCATGCTGATCCAAGACGTTGCCCACCGTTCGCAGAGAGTGAGTGTGTCGATCCTCGTTCGAGCAGAAGCCATGCTGATCCAAGTCGTTGCCTACCGTTCGCAGGAAGTGAGTATGTCGATCCTCGTTTGAGCAAGAGCCATGCTGATCCAAGACGTTGCCCACCGTTCGCAGGAAGTGAGTGTGTCGATCCTCGTTTGAGCAAGAGTCATGCTGATCCAAGACGTTGCCCACCGTTCGCAGAATGTGAGTGTGTCGGTCCTCATTCGAGCAAGAGCCATGCTGATCCAAGTTGTTGCCCACCGTTCACAGAATGTGAGTATGTCAATCCTCGTTCGAGCAAGAGTCATGCTGATCCAAGTCGTTGCCCACCGTTCGCAGAATGTGAGTGTGTCGATCCTCGTTCGAGCAAGAGCCGTGCTGATCCAAGTTGTTGCCCTCCGTTCGCAGAATGTGAGTGTGTCGATCCTCGTTCGAGCAAGAACCATGCTGATCCAAGTCGTTGCCCACCCTTCGCAGGTTGTGAGTGTGTCGATCCTCGTTCGAGCAAGAACCATGCTGATCCAAGTCATTGCCCACCCATCGCAGTGGGTGAGTGTGTCGATCCTCGTTCGAGCAAGAGTCATGCTGATCGAAGTCGTTGGCCACCGTCCGCAGGAAGTGAGTGTGTCGATCCTCGTTTGAGCAAGAGCCATGCTGATCCAATTCGTTGCCCACCGTTCGCAGCGTGTGAGTGTGTCGATCCTCGTTCGAGCAAGAGCCATGCTGATCCAGGTTGTTGCCCACCGTTCGCAGCGTGTGAGTGTCTCGATCCTCCTTCGATCTCGAGCCTTCCTGAATGAAGCTATTGTGCATCCGTTGATAGACAGTAAGTGCATTAATCCTTTATCAAGTTCAAGTCCTCACAAAGTCATCGATGCACCATTGGCAGGAGGTCAGTACATTGACCCTCTACCGATCTTGAGGCACTGACCGAAGAAAACATCGATCCGTTGACAGCTCGTGAGTATGATCATTTTCTCCCTATATCTTGTCTTCCTCATTGATGCAATCGATGAATTGTTGTCAGGGTGTGAGTCTACCGATTCTCTGTCGCCCTCGCGTCATACTGACCGAACACATTGATGCTCCATCAATAGATTGTGAGTTTGTCCGTCCACTGTCGAGCTTAAACCATGTTGACTGAAGACATCGCCCGTCCATTCACAGTATGTAAGCACATCGACCCGCAGTCAAATTGGAGTATCACTGACCTTCCCCACCGATGACCATTGCTCATCCACTGACAGGATGTCAGTGTGCTCATTCTTCATCTAGCTCGAGCTTTTCTTACGACTGAAACCGTACATCCCTTGATAGTATGTGAGTGTTTTGATCCGAACCTTATTCGCAAACGACATCGTTGATTTATCAATAGGAAGTTAGTCTCTTTATTTTTCTTTGACTTCGGGCCATGCTGACCGAAGATGTTACGCATTGGCAGCGTGTGAGTGTATCGATCCTCAGCAGGGGTCAACGATTTCAACTTTCCATCATGATCTGATCAGCTTAGTCGGAGTCATCGTACAGAGATGCGGTCCAGGTTACTCTCTACGGTATGTCCAATTGGTCGCAGATTGTACATGCAATTCTGATGTTTCGAATGTGCCAGGCCTCTGACTCATCATCACCCTTGGAGAACATTGTTCAGCTCTGTTCTGGTGAATTTTGAGGCTGCGTTGCGATGAACCTGCTGATCATTGATCATTTAGCTCTTGTCATTGTCTTCGAACACTCTTTCTACATTTTCGATAAGCGACCCCATTTTCGTCCACAGTCTGTTCCCTCTTTTTATCTCGCTCTCGAGCAGTACATGGCATCTCAGCATGCTGCTGCTGTCAGGGAAGGTGTGAGCGCTGCCGTACAGGCATATGAAGAAGCTGTGGCTACTGCCTCCCACGCATATGAAGAGGCTGTGAAGGCTTTTGTCTACACATATCAAGGAAAATCGCCTGCTTGGATGGCCAAGTTGCCGTTTGAACCCTTCAAGAGGAAGGCAAAAGAAGCTATTGAACGCTCTCAGGAAGCGAAGCAATCCTTCGAACGCTCGAAGCAGGAGGAGAAAGAATCCTCACGTTCTCGGGCGAAGGCTGAGTTAATGAAGACTATTCTTGAAATCAGTTTAAATCATCGCCTGCGTATGTTTCAACGTCATGTTGTGGCAACAATATCGCTGATCTGCTTGTCTTCAGGGAGACCTTAACGTTGGGCAATGCAATACAGCGTTCCGGTTCAGATGAGATGTTTTGGCTGGGAATGTGGGTTCATTGAATGGTTTATTGAGGTGGATTCAGTGTGTGGAATTGTACGAAACAGTTGCATGATCACGCAATATGATGCTTTGTCTGGTATATGGTGTATACATGTTTGGAGAACGTCGGCCACTGAGACGCAGATCAAGCTGCACGAGTTCATGACCATTCCTTTGATATTTTATCTATCATAGGGATATAAGTAGCTACACATCCAATTTTCTTTTCCTCCTTTCGAACCCACGTCAAGAACGCTTAGAGGGTGCAAATTACTCCAAAGAGCTGGCAGCGAAACAAGGGGCCTGGGCCTTACGTATGCGGGGCGGGACTTGGAAGTATGCTATCACAACCGGACCCGGTAGTCTCATTTCTTGTCAACCGGCTGGTTGTCCTGAAGCTGCTGCTGATACTAGGGTCTGGGTCGACTGAGGGGTGCCGGTGAGTAAGGCTTGTAAACATGGTGAGAGGTGCCCACTGTGCATTACTGTATAATCTGACATGACAACATATGAACTTAACTGTGCGTCCTGTCGCGGTGAGCTCTATTGCTGACTCAACGAACGGCGAAACATCTCGACGCAGCACCTATAATGATCCTCTCAAGATATTATTCTTTATGAGGCCCGTCGATTTTTGCGTTGTGCTGCTTGTGTGCATGTGAAAAGCAGCAAGCATTTTCAAAATTGGAGCACGTCTAACTATATCCGTTGGTGCAAGCAGCTTGCAACTCTGTGTTGCCCATCTCTCAACTCGGCAGCATGGAAGCACATTTCCAGCCTCCCTACCCTCTTCACAGTGAGCTGTGCGGGTCTCCTCATCGGCCTTTAATCTGGGCCAGGACACCGTCAACTTTGCACCTTTCCGTAACCTCACAGGTCTTTTTTTCTATGTCAAAATGGCTGCATCCACTATCACAGTCATTCAAAACTCAGAATTCCCCTCGCTAGAAGAGTTTGTACTAGAAGTCAGTGTTTTGCCTTGAACAGAGGCCGAGCAGCTCTGTCGCGCGCTCTCCAACTGCAAGTTGAATCAGAACATTCAACACCTCCCCTGGTTCAACAGTCGGGAAGCCCTCAAGTAGCTCTTTGACAGTAATCACACAATCTCTTTGTTTTACTCAGCTCTGGACCCTGCAGCTCGACTTTCCTCGTCGCTGCTTCAAACTTGATAACAACCGTCTTTTGGAAGTCATGCAAGTTGGCTACACGTCCGCTCGCTGGAATCAGGGGATGGAGAAACGGTACCCACTGTCTTCCGTGAACTATTCACTGTGCTTTCTCAATGGTCCCTGCTTGCTTAGGTTGGACTTAGCAACGGACGCCGTGAAAATTGATAATGTCGAGTCATTTCAACATACCACCCTAGAATCATCGAACTTGACCCGGTCTCGTTTAGCAGATGCCAAAGCTATTGCTTACATCCTCTTCTCCACGCTCCCTCACATCGACCAAGTCACTGACTAGCGAGACTCATGGGACCTATGGGACTTCGAAATCTACTTTCTGAAATTATGGGACGAGATCTCGTTCTTTCAAATGGCCACGAGCCACGAAGGCCCGGGTCTGAGGAGACGGACCGAGTACGTTTTTTCGCACTACCCTGACCAAAATGCTGCTTTCATCATCACACATTTCTTTTTCTATCCTACGCTACCCAATAACATCACTCAAAAATACATGTTCTACTTATATCTATCTCGTGCTTCCAATATCACTTGCATGCGCGCCATTGGATGATATAATTGATGAGAGTATATGCCGCACCCCATGCGGACGTTGTGTTAGCTACCAACTAGACAGATTATCATGATCTGAAACGTACAAAAATGCACTATGATCTCAGCGGGACCACGACAGTACTAGGCAGCCTCCGTCAGGATAAAAAACGATTGATTGATCATGACAGACCGGTAAACAGTTTCAGGTGTCGATCTGGAGATGTAAAGTGATCGAAATATAGACCTTTCAGATCTTCAAAGTTTCAGGTCTCAGGCCTAAGGTGTGATCTCGCGGCGAAGGCGGTCGAGTCTTCGCATATCTCCACATCTAGATTTTCTACAGGACTCTTGCAATGTTCGTGATGAGAACTTCCGGGTCCACAATGCCCCACATCATGATGGTGGAATGGATCTTGCGCATACATGCGTTCGAGGTAAAAATGGTCATTATTCAAGAACCTGCAATCAGAGTGACAAAAATGTCTGTTTGGTTGCAAGCAGGGCCCCAATAGTGACCCCGACCCGTGCAAGAGTGAGCCGAGGTGAGCTGCTATTCCCACATTAGTAGGAGTCAATGTGACATACCAAAGTGAACCCTGAATCTCTAAATTGCAGGAGCCCGCAAGGGGACGCATTGAGGGGATGCACGAGACAGTTAGTAGCAAAAGTAGTAAGAAGGCATCCGTGTGAACATAAATGTGGGCATCCGCGTCAATGCAGGTGTTCGTGTCGGTGCAGGCGCCTGTGTCAATGCAAGTATCTGCGTCCACGAAAGTGCGGGAATCTACATGCACACGGCAGTAGGTGTTGGCAAGGATGGTACTCACGCGAGCCAGCTTGAAAGGTCGATGTGCCGTAGCACCTTCAAGTCGTGGCCGCCGGACTTGCTTTCATTGCATGGGGATGCACATAAGGATCTGGGCCATGTCAGAAATTCCTAATTTGGATTTCAACGCCTTGTAAGGCATTTCAAGGTTCAAAGGCAAAATGGCCTTTGAAATGGGTTTAAATAATAGAGTCGTACTTAAAATTGCCATAGAAATGTAGTTAAAATGGCATTGCAACAGATTGCAACGGGCCTTGCAATGGTACGGCACGGTGCAATTTGGTTGCCATATTATTGCAATATCTTAAGAAGAAAGGGAGAAAGGTTTCGGAAACGTTCGCGCGCTCGCGTGGTTTTCGCGTAGCGCCATGCGGTTTTCGTTTAGATACGCTTAGATACGCTTAGATACGCTTAGATACGCTTAGATTCGCTTAGATTCGCCTAAGGCCACATGGTTTTCGCTTACCTCGCTTGAACTTCTATTTGGAAACTCGCGTGGTTTTCATGTATATTTCGAGCGGCGACTCAAACAACGTCACCCATTGGGAATGTTGCGCAACAACATTGGTAACTGTATGTGTACATGGCATTAAATAATGTGTTTGAGCAGGGGGACAACAGGATTTGAGTGTTTTGCCTACTGCAATTATTAGTAGTGACTGTATATGTACATAAATGGAACAACATATGATACAATTACAGACAGGGAGATAACAAATGTGGTGACAGGAGATAAGATTCAAATAAAAAAAGGAGACAAAGACAATGTAGACTCAAAAACCAGAGAATGTGATGACAGGAAAATGGGGAAATGGGAGAACAGGAGACAGGAGATGGGAGACTGAGAGAACAGAGACGGGAGACGGGAGATGGGAGAAGGGAGAAGGGAGACGGTGTAGAGACTCGCGCGTCTCAATGACGAATATCCGGCCTTTAACCATACATTCCTATACATTACAGCTCTACTCCTAAGGACCAGTCTCGCGCGCACTCGCGCGCGCCTTATCTGAACTCGCGCGCACTTACGCGCGCCTTACCTACGCACGCGCTATGCGCGCTTCGCGCGCGCGTTCGCGCGCCTCCTCATAGGTCTTCGCGCTATCGTCCGTCCATCCGTCCCATGTCCTTACTGATTCGCTGGTGCGTTATTTCTATCTTATCCATTGAACTAATAAAATCTTCGGTCCGACATCCGCGCTACTTATGGAAAGTTTATTTAAACTTAGTTATAATTAGAGTTGATATGGTTACTCGGTTCGGGAGCGCGCTCGGAAGCGCGCCTTCTCCATTCTTAAATACAGAAGGGTTTCCTTTAGTTCTGGTACTTACTTTTCCCTTATCTTTGTGTACTGGAAAGTGAATAGATCACCTCCCCACTTGTTATCTGATCATATCCTCCTGTCAATCCTCCACCTTTGCACTCACTCCTCAGTAAGATCTTGCCTCTAACGCTTTAGGCGCGCCTTCGCTTCGCGCGCGCGCATTCTCGGACCTCCCACTCACGCGCGCATCACGCGCGCCTTCGCCTCGCGCACGCGCGCCTTCGCGCGCGTTATCTTCTCGCGCCTATTAGCGCCCGCCTAGCTCACAGAGTTTCCCTCCACTTTATTTCGAGGAACTTCTCTCAGTGGTTGTCCTTTGGGTCGAGTCGTTGTCTCGTATCCCGGTCTTGCTGTTGAGCACCCCTTTTGTTTTAAGTGTTTTCACGTATAGTCAAGATTCCTCATCTACAACTGGAGCCCACCGCGAGGGACACTTCTGAGATAGAAGGTCGGCGCCTCAGACCCAACAGTCGCCGCATAGCCAGAGAAGAAGCCATCGCCGCATTCGACAGAGCGGTAGAATCCATTATACCAGGACCCTTATTCATTCAACACACGCGCGGTCGTTCGCGCAATATATCAGAACCTCCGCGACCAGATCCAGCGCTCTTCGCGCACGCGCCTAGACAACTGATATCGCCAGTCACGCCCTCGCCTGAAGAATCCGTCAAGGAAGAGTCATCCGACGGCTTCGAAGCAATAGATAACCCAAGGAGCCAACTTCCCGGAGCATTCCTCCACACGCCCAATCAACCTCCTTTTAATACTTCTAACCTGTCAGCGCTAAGCGCGCTAACCGAGCTTGACGACTCTAGCGACACTCCACTTAACGCGCCAGTAGTTCCTGCGCGCGAGAACGCGCTTCCTACAACGGGAATACCTAAGATCAAGCAAGAAGCTTTAGAAACCCCGCGCGCGCCATTTTCAATCCCAGGCGGTACCGTTATATCAAACCTTCCTTTCGCGAACACGCGCCAAGCACTTGTCAGTCACAAGATCCCCGCGCCTGCAATTTCCCAACCGCCCGTCATGTCCACAGTAAGAACCAGAATGCCTGTCCGTGGAACAACGGACGCGCCTAAATTTGATGGCACAACCGACAGCCTCGCCGACTTTATCGACCTATACGAGCAGCTCGCTGACGACGTAGGTCTACAAGGTCTCGATCGCATTAAGGGTATCATCCGCTACCTTGAGCGCGATGACCGAGAATTATGGGGCGGAATGCCGGAGGCGCAAGTAAGCGATTACAACGCGTTCATGAAAGAAGTCAAGGTAATGTATCCCGGATGGGATGGCAAAAGGCGCTACGCGCTTTCGGACCTACAAGCCATCGCGCACGAATACGCGAACAAGACGATGCCCTCGTACCAGGAGTTAAGCAACTACCTTCGCGCGTTCAAGAAAGTCATGCAACCGCTATTGGCAGAAGATCGCATTGGTAAAGCCGAGCGCGATCGCATATTCATGGAAGGGATTCCCAAGGATACTCAGGCGCTAATACGCACGCGCCTAATGATTAAAATTCCTGATCACTACCCGCAGGATCCATACCCGTTCATGGACGTCTTTACAGCTGGACATTTCGTTCTGCCCGCGAATGCGCCTGCAGCAAGCGCGACGCCTAGCGCGCCTACGGCAGCGCCATTCACTAACCTAGTCACAGCTACCACGTCAGCGCAATCGCCCGCGCAAGGCACAGTAACCAAGCGCGAATATAAGCGCGACGCGCCTACGTTCAATGACTGCGCCTTTTGCGGCAGTCTCGAACATTACTACCCTCGTTGCGCAGAGAAACAAAGGTATATTGACGCGGGTAAATGTAAGGTTAGCGAAGAGACGCGCAAGCTTGTTTTGCCAAATGGCGATTGGATTCCAGGCCGAGGATTACTCAAGGATCGTCTAGATCGACATCACGCAAGTCGCGCGACACCGGATACGACCGCTAGTACAGGCGCGACAGCGGGACTATTCTATCGCGCGTCCGACGAGATCGACGCGGTAATTGATGTAGGCTCATCTGCGTTTGTGCACACAGTCGCGCAAACGGAACTCGAAGAGGACGACGAGACGGTGGATCTCATGACAGAAGCGATAGCCTATGTAGCTGCAAGGCGCGACCAGAAGCGCAATGCCAAAGGTAAAAGTGTGCGCTTCGATGGTGTAGAAATACCCAGCGAAACGCGCGCGCGTCCGAGACCTGCATCTAAGCAAGCCACGGTAGAGGAGGAGATAATCTCTCCCGAAATACAGGCTTCGTCTGACAAAGGTAAAGGAAAAGAGGTAGCGAAAGTAGCGCCGTTAAGCGCGCCAATAAGCGCGCCAACAAGCGCCAAGGCGCCTCCTAAGGGCGCCTCGCCCGCATCGTCAACACCATCATCGTCCGCGCCAGTATCGTCATCGTCGTCATCCCCATCTCAATCTTCAGTATTGCCACCATCGCCGTCATCAACACCAACCCAAGCACCAGCACAGTCATCATCATATCGTTATGCATTTGCGCTCGAAGACAAGGAGGCCGACAAACGCGTTGTCGAGCGCCTTCTCGATTCCAATCTCAATATCCCAGTAAGGGAATTATTAGCTGTATCTCCCGAC